GGGTGTCTCCCCGCGGGTCCCCCCCCTCACAAGCGGGGATGAGTTGGAAGGAGTCCGGCTTCTGGTCGCCGGGTGTTTCGTGCAGTCGGCGTTGCTTTAAAGAGGTTTGGAGGCAGCGTTGTCTCTATGCAGATGTGGGGAGAAAGGGGGAGGATAAACGCTTCCGCGGGCTACGGTAGCGTTTCTTCCCTTAAAAAAAAAAAAAAAAAATTGATGGAGGTTTTGGGAAATGTCCCCGACTGTTTTGTCGGCTCTCGCAACGCCGCGTTTCGGGGCTGGACGTGCTTTTGGGGTGGGCTTTGGGATGGCGCGGTCCGGGCTCTGCGTCCCCCGGTGGGCTCCGGGGAGAGGGAGGGGGAGATGGTTTTGTTCGGTTAAAAGTGTTCAAGTTCGCTGCAGTTTGCCTTTATGTAACGTTTTTAAGTGTTTTTCCTTAGTTTGCTTGTCCGTGCTGTGATTGCCGGTTTTATTGGTGTGCGGTTATCTGTGTTACGACCCGGGTGAGAAGTGGTCTTAACAGAAAAATCTGGGTGAATTCAGCCGGTGTTGAAGCAGATGATGTTGAATGTCTCGTTGTGTTCGTTTCAGAGAGTGGAGCTTTTAGGGAGAGAGCTTTAGAATCTTTTTCTGCTCGTTCTGGAAAGGATTATCTGCAGTGTGAGGTTTGAATTCAGGCTGTGGTGCTGCAGAACCCAGAATAAAGTGTGTGTCCTTAGAGATGTAAATACACAACTTCCCCAGATCATCAGCTGGGGATGTGCAGCGGGAGGGCCGAGGTCTGGCTCTTGATTTAAACCAGTGTTTTCACGTTTGTGCTGTGGTTCCCCAGAGTTCCTCGACAGCTCTGCTTATCTTTCATCTGGGCTCGTTCTGCCTTCACCTGAAAGTTCAGGTGTTGCATTTCCAGCCTCTGAACGTCCCCACCTACAGACCTGTGCCTGATGTGGGCTGGAGTTTATTTTCCTTTAGTTCCTTTGGAATGTGCCACCTGCTCTGACTTCCAACAAACTGACTTATTAGCAAAACACAGTCTCCTCATGCTGCAGCTCAGGGAGGTTTGTGGGTTATTTGGTTTACTTTGAGAGACCCAAAGCTGAGATGTTCAACAACATCAGACAGTGGTGGGTAATTTGTGTGTCAGTAAACTATGTGACACAGATCCTTAAATCAGAGTTTCAGATGTTCTGTTGCACACTTTTGAAGCCTCTTCACCGAGAAATCCCTCCTTAAGTTTAATGTTAAAGGTGATACACGGGTTCTCCTGAGTTAAAACACCCATGTGAAGACAAAGTATCGTGGCTTCAGACTGGATTTTGTGCAGCAATGTTTAGTTTTGGGGTGTGGAGATACTGCCTCGTTTGAGGGTTGCTCTGGATGGTCTCAGGAGCCCAATTAGCTCTGCTTTAAATCTGCAGCACACATTGGCTGTGGAAATAATGTGGGAGCTGCTGAATATAAATCTCATTAGCAGAGATGCACAGTTTGTACCATGTGCCCAGGAATCACCAAAGGTCACCTTTTTACTCAGTAAAAGAGTTCTGTCTCATAGTGGGAACGACAGTCTTGAGGAGAAAGAGGTAATGTAATTCCAGTTAACTGGAATGAGCTCTGCTGATAGTTTGGCCACAGCAGTGTGAGCAGATCCTTCCCTTGGCACATGAAGGGGCAGCTAAGTTGGGTTTTGGTTTGGAAATAGGAATTTTTGAGGGACGGGAAGCACGCAGGAGTCATGTCTTGATCTAAAAGCAAATTACTCCTTGCTTGTAATTATCTAATAATGTGATGATCAATCTGAAAATTATAATTCCGAGCTAAAAAGGAGAAAATGGTCTCAAGGTGGGTTTTCTGCAGCTGAAGTTTCACTGGACAGTGGGATGTCCCCAAGGAAATATTGATGCTTCACACTTGTGTCTTCAAAAGCAGTCTGGTGGAAGCACAGTGGTGCTCTGTGAGGGGACAGGTTTGCTCTGCCTGGGGGATGGATGGTGTGGACAAGGAGTTCTCACTGAACACTTTTATGGAGTGTGAGTGTTAAGTTTGTAACCTCCTGCCTGTTAAAGTCACTGAAAGTCTCCCAAAGGCACACCCAATTAATTTCTCCTTTTCCTGCTGAAGCACTGGAGCTGCATTGCCAGCAAAAAGCTGTTGCTGCAGAATCCCTTCTATTATGTGTCTCTTTTGTTGCTGTCATGATCTGTGTGGAGTAATTACAAAAGCTTGTTTGTTTGAATGACTAAAACCAGCACAGTGAGATGAATCCTTCACCCCCGATGTGACACTGTTTCCTGAATGTTTGGCTTAGGAGTAATTGTACAAGGAAAAGGTGGTTTGTGCTCCTGGTGTAAGAGCAGAGGGTAAAACTGGAGATGGCTTTGCAGAGTGGCCTTGTGCTGTGTGTAACACTGGCTGTGTTGTTCCTGTGCAGATTATCTGGATAATGGCAATAATAAAATGGCAATCCAGCAAGCGGATAAACTGCTCAAAAAGCACAAGGACCTTCACTGTGCCAAGGTAAGTGTGGCTTGGGGGCACCCACCTCGTTCTGTCTGAGGTGTTTCGCTGTGATGTTCCAGAGACCAGTGTCTTCTGGACCCTCTGGAATATCTCTGACCTGATCCACGTGTCTTGTTTGCCTGAACTCGTACAGATCTGTGGGTAGTGAGCGGAGTATTGGTTACACCCGAGCTCATTGTCTGGCTGTCAGCACCACCCAGACAACCTTGGCACATGGGCTGGGCCTCAGAAATGCCTCTTTGAGACCTCAGGTTGGGACACTTCTCTGTAGGAGCTTGCACCAAAACATCTCCTGAGGGGTGGAGTCTTTGTAAAACATACCAACTGAACAGGTTGCCCAGAGAAGCTGTGGCTGCCCCATCCCTGGGAGTGTCCAAGGCCAGGTTGGACAGGGCTTGGAGCAACCTGGGCTAGTGGAAGGTGTCCCTGCCCATGGCAGGGGGGACACTGGATGAGCTTTAAGGTCCCTCCAACCCAAACCATTCTGGGATTTTGTGATTCCATAATTTTAGAGGCATTTGCTCTTCTGCTTCTTGTCCTCTCCCTCCTTGCAGTGCCCTGGTGAAGGAAAGGCAGTTCTGTCCTTCACTTTTCTGAACATGTGACTCTCTTTCTACTTTCCTCATTTCCCTGGGGGTTTCCCTCTACAGGTCACACCACTTCTATGTCCTGAAAGCTTCCCAAGCTGCAGAGAGTGTCATTGACCTGAATCTCATTTATGTCACTTCTCTCTGGCCAGTTATTGAAAAGAAACAAATGAAAATGGGCAGGACTGGCCAGTGTTCAGCCTGCAGGGAGAGAAAACCCAGTGGCAGGTGATGCTGGAGCAGCCTGGATATTTGGTAGGAAATCAAATCCCCCTCTTTGATGCAGCCTGGATTTGGGAGTTTTTCTTTACAGCCATATGGGTTAGAAGCTTAATAAAACCTGAAGTTCTGTAGGGGAAAGAGGGTGGTTGGGCAAAGCCTGACGAGGAACGAGAGGATTTCCACTGGTAATTGCAAATCCTGAGAGCTGCCTGTGTTGTGTCCACAGGTTCTGAAGGCCATTGGCTTGCAGAGGACTGGCAAGCAGGATGAAGCCTATGCTCTGGCACAAGAAGTAGCAGCACTTGAACCCACAGATGATAATTCCTTGCAGGCACTAACCATCCTGTACCGGGAAATGCACCGACGTGAGTTTGTTCCTTTGCCTGCCTTAAAAATCTCAATTATTTACGTTCTGCCAGAAGTTTGTGGGACCCACTGTGGTGGGAAACGTGCAAAATCCAGAGTTTGTGTCTATGAGAGGCTGCAAGGGACTCAGAGAATTTAAATGATGCCTGTAAGGCTCCAGTGATCTCCATAAAGCTAAAAAAACCTTGTTCAGGTTTGTCATTAACATGATTGTGTAACAGTTCCTAAATGAAGCAGGTTGATAATCATCCAGCAGCCTGTAAGTTCACTTTTTGTTAACGAAACTATTGGGATTTGTTGTCAGTAGATGTGGCAGAGATTGCAAATCAGTGGGTTGTGGTTTGGAGTGTGTTTGGTGCTGTTATGTAGTTGAGGGGTTCAGGCTCAGGAAACTGGGTGAGAAACGGGAGGGAAATCCTACCCTCCCAGTTTGACCACAGCAGCTTTTCAGTCTGGTTCCTCATAGTGATTCTCTGTTTTAAAAGTGCTAAATCATGACTGTTGGAGTGATGGAGTAAAGCTTCATGTGCTTTTCTGAAAGAAGCCAGACTTTATACCCTGCTTATGTGCAGCTCTGAACACTTGTTGTCCCTGGCAGCTCCTTGTGGGGTGGTGTTGGTACCAGTATTTGTTGTTGAATTGCTGGAGAAATGACCATGAGGTGAAACAGCTGCTGCAGAAATGGCTGTTTGGTGTCAGTCTGCAATTGCTGATGCTCTCCCAGTTTGTTTGTGGAGTTAAAGCATCATTTCTTAAATAACACCAAATTTCTGTGTGTATTTGTGACTTCAGCAGAAACCCCTGTGAATGTCAAGAGCCTTTCTGTGATACCACACAACTTCCATAAGGTCTTAAGCTGAGCTTTATAACTTTTAGGTTTATAACTCAGGAACTTGTGGGTGTGAGGCACTTTTGGTCCTGCATGGAAATTGGAATTAGATGTTTTATATCTGTGTGTTGAGTATTTTTAAACTATGAAAGAAACTATGAAAGAAAAATTACTTTTAATTTTCTAATACTACACTGAGCTGCAGTTTTATATGTAAGGAAAAAATCTGGAAGGATGAAAATGTAAGAAAGTTTTGCATGTTATAATATCAGAAGTATTTTGTCATGATAGACCTATTATCAAAAAGTATAGTGTGGAATAATTGTTTAGAATACTGAAATAGGCAATTGGGAAGTAACAGGATATAATTAATATAAGTCAAACTGTGATAAGAGTAATTAGTTTAATATCAGGCTCTGAAAATGTTGGGTTTGACACATAATTCATGTGGAGCAGTAGAAATCTTCATTAAGTTTAATGCTCCAAATTAGATAAACTTTCCTAAGAAAAAGACTTAAAATTCTGAACTGAACAGTTCAGTTGTTGCTGTTTAACTCCATTTTGATTTGACTATTTTGAGGTTGGTTTGGGGTTTTTTAAGCACTTTTCTCCTTTGCCTGCTGTTTGTAGTGCCTGGGGGCCAGGGCACCATTTCTGTGGCTGCTGGGTGTAATTAGGGTGATTTCAGAGCATCACTGATGCTCTTTAGGCAGCTGTGCTTTAAAATATTCCCAAATTTGTCTTAACTCAAGCATCTGGTTTCGATTTAGCTGAACTGGTGACTAAACTGTACGAGGCAGCTGTAAAGAAGGTTCCCAACAGTGAAGAGTATCACTCTCACCTCTTCATGGCCTATGCCAGGGTTGGGGAGTACAAGAAGATGCAACAGGTACGAGCAACAACTGGTGTTTGGCTATTTTAAGGTGTATTTTTCTGTATTTCTTACTGTCAGTGCCTTGTCACGTTACAAGGAGTCTTCCAAAAGCTGAGCTTGGTTAGTGCAGAAGTTAAACTCTGTGTTGGTTTTTACAGAAAGGCTTAAACCCCAATTTTTTAAAGGTTGGGTTGTCTAAAGAGAAAAGCTTTCTTTCCTTAAAGCTGTGCCTTCAACTGGTCTGTGCTGGCAGTGTATTACAAGGAATTCTGGAATAGATGAAAATATAGAGCAAGATCTTCTGATCCCTGTTTTCACACTTGATTTCCTCCTTAGTTCTCTGTTATCTGGGAAGAGTAATCTCGCCCATGCTCTTAGTGTGGCATCCAACATGCAGCTAGGCTTGTATTGGTGGAATTCAGTGAAGAAAAACTAAAGGGCACTAATTGCTAATTCTGTGTTGTCACTGCCATCATTGCTGTCTGTCATGAGAGCTTGGAAAGAAATATATTTCAGGAATTATGAAACTTTTGGCTTCTATTTTTCAGGCTGGAATGGCACTTTATAAGATTGTACCCAAAAATCCATATTATTTCTGGTCTGTGATGAGCCTGATCATGCAGGTGTGTACAGTGTTGAGTTTGTCTGATACAGAAATGTTCTGAATGAAAACATTAGAGATTAAGTAAAATGGTGTTTGACCTGTTCCTGGGTGGTGCTGGGAGAAGGGCTGAGCCCTCCTTAAGTAGCACTATTGTTGTGGTCCAAAATGAATGCTGAAGTGTTTTTATAATGCAATTTGACTGTTGCCTTACCATGTTTATACATGTTTATACAACTGAATTATTCTCTGAGCTGGACTAATATCTTACTGTCATTTTAGTAGAGAGATAATGAATAAATCCTCAAATATCTGCAGTTTCTCAGTCAGAACTGTTCCTCTCTAATGAAATTATAAAGGCTCTTGGAGGGAGAAAATGAGAGCTCTGGACTTGGCAGAGTCTGCAGGAATAGACACAGATCAGCTGTGCTGCTCTTAGTTGAGACAGAGATTTGGGCACTAATCAGACACAAAATCAAACAAAAAATAAGCATGAGGGGCATTAATCACATTCTCTAAAATACTGTGCTGTGGAACACACAAATATGTTCTGGCTCCATGGTTTTTACCGTGAGTGTTGTGTGCTCAGATGGGCAAATCTCTGGTCAATATAATCAAAAACGAGCTTTTCTGTGTGTCACTAATTTTACTGCTCCTTTTCCCAGAGCAGTTGCACTCTGCAGGTCACAGGAGGCAGCTCTGGATGGGTGGTTGGGGGGGGTTGAAGGACCTGGGTTGTTTTTTTTCTTCTTCCAAAGTGAAAAAAGCAGTGGGTGGGACAGGACAAAAAGTTGCTGAGCTGTTCCAATAATCCTTCTCTCCCTCAGTCCATCTCAGCACAGGATGAAAACCTCTCCAAGACCATGTTTTTGCCACTGGCTGAGAGAATGGTGGAAAAAATGGTGAAGGAGGATAAGATTGAAGCTGAGGCTGAAGTAAGGCTTGGGGATACTTTCAGCTTGATCTGAGCTTTGTTGAGACAAGCAGTGCACTGGGAAGTTGATTATTTTAACAGTTTTCCAAGATAATAATCAGTAATGTTTTGGAAGTAAATGTGGATGGAGTGGAACAGAAGGAAAACCAAGAGCAGGGGGTTAAGAGGGATTTGGAATTGTGTGGCCAAGGCAGATTTTTGGCATTTCATTTGACTGATGAAGTGCTTTGCTCCCTGTGAGGCCCCACGAAAAACCTGAGGACTAAGAATGGAAAAAAAGACCTACATTTCAGAGTTCTTCACCCTTTGGGATACTAAAGATAACTGTGCAGGCCTGGTGTCTCCTAGTTTATTTTTTGACACACCTGTGTATGGTTTTCCCAGCAAATTTCACTGCAGTCTAATCTTTCTTTTAAGGTTGAGCTGTACTACATGATTCTGGAACGTTTGGAGAAGTACAAGGAAGCCTTAGACGTTGTGAGAGGAAAACTGGGAGGTAATTTATTCTGTTAATAAATCAGAGTTGTGTGGAGGACACAGAGTTCTCCTTTGCTTCAGACTTGCCCACTGCTTCCAGAAAAAAACAGTAATATTTTAGGAAGCCTGACTTAGCACCAATTTCAAACCTTGGTGCAAACTCTGGAGGTTTTTGTGCCACCTGGTTTTACCCACTTATGTTTATGGAATTTAAACATTATTCAGTGGTGGATTTTGCAGTAGTAAATTGATGTTGTGCTTATTTGTTGTAGCTGCCATTTAAAAGAAAAAATGAAGTTTCTAATACCCTTTCTGAGGATTGACATGGAGTTTTAAGGAGTTGGGATATGACGGTTTCCATAGGAAATCTCTCTCTCTGTCCTCTCTCCTGTTCTCTTACACTGTTTTGCATGCTGGGCTATTATAAGCAGCTTTCTGCAGCAGGCAGAGAAGGAAAGCAGTGCTGACATGAGGTTGCCTTGTGTTTGTGGTGCAGAGAAGCTGACCAGTGAGCTCCAGAGCCGGGAGAACAAGTGCATGGCCATGTACAAGAAGCTGCGGCGGTGGCCCGAGTGCAACGCGCTGTCCAGGCGGCTGCTGCTCAAAAAGTGAGGGGGTGGTGCTGCAGTCCTGCCAAAACTGGATGAAAAATCTCTGCTTGGTTGTGGATTGCCTTGTTTAGTGGCTTTCTGGGGTTAAAAGAGAAGAATATCAAAGGATCTCAAAGCTTTATGCTCCAAAGCCTGAGAAGGGTGGCAGGGTGGAATGGTGAAGGGATGTGGGGAAGGGCACGGGGCTGTAGGTGCTGCTTTTTCAAGCAGGATTTAGCAACACGTTAATGCAATGAAGTGTTGTTACCTCCTTATTTCTAAAGGCCATGCTGATTGTCCAGCTCTGACAGAGAGGAGAAGAACTGCATTTACATTTCATTTTCTATAACTTCATTTCTCTCACTTGGCCAGACTTCACAGTGGGAAATGCATGTGGTGCTTGGAACAGATGCACCAGGAGACAGAACATTCCAGTCTGATCAGATCTGTCTCAGAACTGTCAGGAGAGATGTGTTGTTTGCTTTTTGAGTTTAGCTCTGCCCTCATCTTAGATATAAGTTAAATACAGAAGAGAAACTTCTGCCTTTGCATTTTGTGGGGATGTTGCTGAGCTGTGGAATGTAAATGTGAGGAGGAAAGTTTATAGCTTGCCTCAATTTTGTATTGAAATTATTTCATTTAATACATTTCAAGAAATTCAGGATGATGGAGTTCTTAAGATGTGAGACCTTTTGGAGGGGAAATGATTTTATTATTGCAGTTGGGTTTTTCCTGTAATATGATGATGTGCCATTCCTTAAGTTTATCTTTGGCAAGGAATGCAGTTCTAGCTGTGAATTACTGTCTTGGCAATTCCCTAAATTTTGTCCTGTGCCTGATTTTTTGTTTCAGCTCAGATGATTGGCAGTTTTATATAACTTACTTTGATTCAGTGTTTCAACTCATTGATGAGTCCTGGACACCTCCAGCAGAAGAAGAACAGTAAGTACCAGTTTTACTGTGGTTTTGTTTGCCCTTCATGCTACAATGAATTGTTTGTGTCCATATATTCAATATTTGGGTGACTCCTTGACATCACACCCCAAATGATGTGTTTTCCCTGCTTTGTTTCATGTGTGCTCCTTGCTTTTATCTGGAGTCTGGCAATTATTGGAAACAGCTGTTTGTGCACTGTAGAACTCTTCCAGTTAATATTTTCCGTGGTGATGGATTTAGTGGATTTTAGATTTCCTTAGGAGTATCCTGGGAGTGCTGAGTGTGTGTTATCCCTGCTCTCACGCTGGGAAAAATCCAAGAAGCTTTTGTCTCTAATTCCCAGCTCTCTGGAAGGAGAGGTGCACTGTTCTGTGGAACAAGCTGTGGAGTTTATAGAGGAGAGGATCACAGAGGAGTCCAAGAGCTCTCGGCCGCTCCGGGGACCATATTTAGCCAAACTGGAGCTGATCAGGCGTCTGAGACACAGAGGCTGCAATGATGAATATAAACTAGGTAAGAGCCACGGCTGGGGGAGGAATCCAGCTTTTGGAGAGAGAGAAAAACTTGGAACACTCAGTTAAACACAGTGTCTGTGACGAAAACCTACCTGCTGTTCTCTGTGTAAAGAATTTTGAAAGCATTAAAGGGTGAGCCCTGAAGAAAGGCAGGTAGTTCAGACTAGTCCAGGCTTGGAAAAGCCAGCAGGGAAGTTCTCAGGACCTCTGGGATTTAGGAGCAGTCACTGACACTGTGTTCCTGCTGCTCTGCTCTTTGGAAAGTCCAGCTGTTAACGCTGCAGTCTTTGGAGGTGGGGGGAGTTCATTTAAGTTTTTTGGGTTTGCTTTTTAAAAACTCGCATTTAAAAGTGGCATTTAGGCAATCAGTGAAAGAGAACGTGATTAGAGCAACATCTGTGCTTCTTACTAGTTCTTTTTGTGTTTCCATCCAAAAATAAGTTGTGGTTAGATAAGCAGAGGCTGGGTGTGCATTCCTGTATTGCTGGGCACTTATCTGCCAGAGGAGCTTGAATGAAGCCTTTGGGGTGGTTTTTTTGTGTCCTTGGTTACCAGAGACATTGAGCCTCTGTTAAAATCTGCAGCTCTGTTTTCTAAATCACTCTGTAATCTTGAAGGGGGAAAAAAAACCGTGAACAGATTTCTCAGAGTGATTTTAGAGATTCAACTCGTACTGGAGCGTGTTAAAAAGGTGGACTGGGCTTTTCCCTAGGTGATCCAGAAGAGCTAATGTTCCAATACTTCAAAAAATTTGGGGACAAACCCTGCTGTTTTACTGATCTCAAAGTGTTTGTGGATCTCCTCTCACCCAGCCAATACTCAAAGGTAAGGAAAGATAAAGTGTGGCAGGAACTGCAGTGGATGTTTGCACTCTGGTGCTTTTATCTTAAAATACCTGTGGATCATATGGAAAGACTGGCAACATCATTTTTTTTTTTTCTGTTTAAAATTCAGAGAACTCTTTGTGCTGTAGGAAATACTGTGAACATCTGAACACTGAGCAGTTTCATTCTGAGGATTTTTACTGGAGGTTTAAAGCTGAGTTTGATCCTGCAGAGTCTCAGATCTTGTATTCCTTTGGCATTTTTATTACCATTTCAAGGTATCAGGTGTCAGGCTTTGAGCTCAAACTTCTCTGTTTAGTGGGAAAAAGCTGCTCCCTCATCCCATGCAGGGAGGGTGTCCCAGAGATGCTTTGCTTGGCTCTGGCAGTGCCAAAGAATGGACGCATTGATGCTGCTTGAGGGGTGATGGAGAGACCTACGGCAGTTTTTTCCAGAATCTCTCTCTGAAACTGAAAAGCCCATTTGTGCAGAGTCATGAGCAGCCCTGAATGACTTCAGCAGCTGGGAATCCTGTCACTCACCCTGGTGTTTGTCTGGGCCATTGTGTGCAGGGATCAGTGCTGGGGAAGGCAGGGAATCCGGGATCAGCCACAGGCTGGGAGAAAATGTTGGTAAACAAAGTGTAGATAATGTGGTTCTTTAGTTTATTACAATGTTTTTGAGGGTTAATACAGCTCTTCCCACTCATGAGAGGTGGCCCTGGCATGGGCAGATGGCTGCTGATGTTTTATGTTTAAAGGTGTGGGTTTTACCCCACTGGCAAGAGATTTGGTCAGAAGGATATTTAACTCCTGGTTCTGGAAATGGTGATACTGTTGTCAGGTAACCCTGAAGTACTGATCAGGTTTAATCCTAACTTTCCAGGAAACAAACTCTAAACCAGGAGTGGAAAGACTGATATTCAGTAATAGTTTAGGTGACAGTTTTGTCCCAGTGCTTGTAAAACCATGACTTTGAATAAGTTCTCTAAAACTTTGTCTGGCCTTAAAACTGCTGCTGATTTACTGAATAAATTCTGGAATATATATTGTGTCAAACTGATGGATTGGAAGGTTTTGCCAGTGGCTGTTCTCTGACTGTGTCTAAAGCAGCATCTGCAGCAGTTTAACTCGGTCAAGGGCACGAATGGTTGAGGAGGTTTTGTGGTGCTGAAGTGCTGATGAGTTTTGAAATTACAGTTACAGTTCAGTAGCTGGGAAGGTGGAGATCTTGCAGGGCCACTGACATGTGAGATATTCCAGAAATAATGGTCATGACACCAGTCTTGACTTCGAGAGGTGTAAATTGGAGTATAGAGCCAAGTGATGTGGTTGACCTTGCTCAGCTTGGCAAACCCTCAAACTACAAAAATCTGTCAACAATCTCCAGCCTGTTCTGTGGGAAAACGGGAACTGGTGTGTGTGGTGCCTGGTGTTGCTCCTCTCTGGCTGTGAAGCTTTTGGCCTCAGGTTTGCATTTGATGCAGTTCCTTTGTGTCAATACCAAGTGCAGTAAAGCTGAATTCTTTGGCTTTAACTCAGTTTTAAATTTGCCCTAAAATCCAACAGTGTTCACAGTAAGAAACTGGTGTCCAGCCCTTGGCTGTGTGTTGGCAGTACTCCTCTGTCTCCCATTAAAACAGCAAACAATGAGAGGCTGCTTTTCTGACAACTTAATTCAAGCAAGAAGTCATTAATCAAAGCTGATGACCTCACATTACTTCAGAGCTGAGGGAAAATGTAACAGCTCGTGCAAAACCACGCTTGCCTGGAAGTGTGCTGTGAAGCCTTTCAGCAACTAATTATTTTAATTGCATCTGTTATTGCTGGGAGTGTTAACAGGTGCTTGAACTCCCTGGTGTGTCAATGCATTGGAAACCTGCCCCTGATTTTCTTTTTTTCTTCCATCTGTTTGATGAAACTTAATAAAAGCTATTGAGTGCAACTAGAGCTGTGTGCTCAAGAATTAAAAAATAGCAAAGTTAAGTATCTTTAACCACTGATTCAATGTGACATCAAGGTTGATATTGATACATCATTCATGTGGAGCAGTAGAAATCTTCGTTCAGTTTAATGCTCCAAATTAGATAAACTTTCTTAAGAAAGACTTAAAATTCTCCTGAATAGTTCAGATGCTGCTGTTTAACTCCATTTTGAGGTTAGTTTGGGAATTTTAAGCACTTTTGCCCTCTGCCTGCTCTTTGTAGTGCTTGGGGGCCAGGGTCCCCATTTCTGTGGTTGAGGAATGTGATTAGTTTGCTGTTCAGAGCATCACTGATGTGACTGATTCAATGTTTCCACCTTGCTCTTTTGGCTTGGTTTGAGGGGGGAAACGATGCTTTGCCCTCAGGATTGAACCCCAGTGTTTCTCTCCCAGTTCATCCAGCAGCTGCTGGAGGTGATCCCCCTGTCAGCAGCGGCCGAGAACGAGGTGGCCCTTCCAGGGGACATCAAGGCCCTGCAGCAGCACCTGTGTGTGGTGCAGCTCTCCAGGCTCCTGGGCATCTACCACGCCATGGACAAGAAGGAGAAGCTGACGGTGGTGCGGGAGCTGATGTTCAGATACCGCCATGGGTTGGAGTTCGGTGAGGAACATCTGTAACCTGATCCTGCAGCTCAGTGCTGAGAACACTTGGCTTCCTCCTTGTCATTATGGCCTCGGCTATACCTGAATTTCCTTTAGTTTTTTTTGTAATTTTAATGTATTTTAAAGATAAACAAGACTTTCCAGGGTGGTTTTTAATTTTTAAAAGCCATGCTTTATCACTGGTGTGCACAGAACAAATACCTGGGCCAGGAGTATTAATTTTGTTAATCTTGCAACTGTGGGAGAGTCCTTTCTTCTTCCAGCAGATTTAATATATGAAGTGCCCCAAAATCCACTCAGTGATAAACAAATGCAGCGTGTATGAAGTTGCTTGAGTTTTTAAGACACTTGTGATTCTGATTTTATAAATTAAACTGTGGTTATAATCCACATATATGGATGTGTCACTTGACAATGCTGCCTGTGAGATCAGCTGACAGCACTGTTAGTAACTTTCCTTTTTCTTTTTAGGGAAATCTTGTTTGAAAACTGAATTGCAGTTTTCAGATTACTACTGCCTGCTTGCAGTTCACCTGCTGCTTGATCTGTGGCTGGAAGGTACGTTCCCAAAATTGTGCCCTGCTTATCACCACCCTGGATGGTTGGGTGGGGGGACTGTGTCCCTGTGGGCAGTGAGTACCTGGCATGGCCTGTAGCTTTCTGGGGTTGTTTTTTGGCAATATGGGGTATTTGAGGAGTCTCTGTTCAGCTGGTGTTTGACCTGAATCTCACTGACCTCTAAAGGGATTTAATTTTTCTGATTAATTCCTTGTTTCTCTCCCTTTGCACGAGCTCTGCTGACAACTCCTTTCTGATATGAGAAGTGTTTTAGGAGCATTCCTTCCCCTTCCTGACATACTTTGTCTTTTGGATCCCTGGTTTCTAGACCTGCTGGGACCTGCTCCATGTCTTGAGTATTGCTGTACTCCACACCTCTTCTTCGTGTCTCTTAGTCCCACAGTGTCCAGTGGTGGATGTCCATGGGCACTGTTTATATTCCATGTAGTTGTCATGCCTTTGTCTTTCCCGAGGAAGATTTAGTCCTTAACCTGAGTAAAGCCATGGTCAGGCTCCTGGCAGGTCACTGGTGGACATGGGCTCTTGAATTCCTGGCTCTTTTGCATAATGCCTGGGATTGCTCTGTGTGTGTAAACTAGAATTCCCAGCCAGTGCAGGATCCATCAGGGAGGGTCACTTTGCCTGCAGCGGGCTCACTGTGAGGGCTGTGCTCTGTGCAGATGTGAGCTGGGTATTGCCTGTGAGGAATTACTCCTCCCCCATTCCCTCAGGGAGCAGCAGTAGTGCTGGACAGGTGTTACACTGTGCCATCTGCACTTGTAAATCCCTGGGGGAGGTGTGTAACACCAGGAAGCTCCAGTCCCAGAGGGAATTGTGCTGAGGGCTGTTGGGTGCCTCTCTCTGCTCACACCTGTGTTCTTTGTGTCTGCAGGTGAAGAGGCAGCTGTGTGGCAGTGCCTGACTCTGCTGGAGGAGGGGTTGGCTCACAGTCCTTCCAATGCTCAGTTTAAGTTGCTGCTCATCCGGATCTACTGCCGGCTCGGGGCGTTCGAACCCGTGGCTGAGCTCTACTCCAGCCTCGATGCCAAGCACATCCAGCACGACACCATCGGGTGGGTGGTACATACTGAGAATAATCCCTGCTGCTGCTGACCCTCAGAACCCCTTCTGAGACCTGCACTTTGCTCTGCCACCCAAAACAGAGCAGATTATCAGTTTTTCATACACTGTGTAAAAGCGTTTTGGGGATTTTGAGACACATCCACTCCCCTGTTTGTGGAGTATCTTTCCTGTGTTGGATTTTCAGAGAATTAACTGAGTATTAACTAATCTGGAGGAAATTTGTGAAACATCTATCTTGATGCTAGTCATAGCTTGGTTTTCCAGCTTGTGGTGTTGCTCAGGAAAGCTTGGGAACACTAGTTAAAGCAAACACACCAAATGGCTTTGGTTGGTGTTCAGGGGCATCTGACTGAGTAAAGCTCTTGCCACACTTGAGGTGGATGGAGGAACTCCAACTCCTCACATACTATTTTAAAAAAATTAAAAATTCCTTCCTCTACTTTTCAAACCTAAACTTGAATATGAAAGTTGTTAATGTGAATGCTGTTAAATCTCCACATTTCCCCTGAAAGCTGGGCTGTGCTGCAGCTGTCTGGGGTTGGGGTTCCAGGGCTGGGGCTGACGTTGCTGTGTTTGCTGCAGGTATCTCCTGACACGCTACGCCGAGTCCCTGGGCCATTATGCTGCTGCATCCCAATCCTGCAATTTTGCACTCAGGTTTTTCCACTCCAACCAGAAAGATGTAAGTTGAAAGAAACCTTTGTGACCTTGTAACAGGGCAATATGTCAAGGAGACTTGGAGAAGCCTGTGCCCTGTGGAAGGGCTTATGGAAATGCAGGTTAATAACATGATAGCAAGGAGGAATAGTACGTGCAACTTTGTAGTAAAGGTTGCCTCAACCTATGTTTCTTACTGCAGGAATTTGCAACTTACTGTTACATGAGGTTTTGCTTTAGGTTTCCTTTTTATTAAAGCCGGTTTTAATGCTCGTCAGAAAACCCAGATATGATTACTTTTAAATCAATGGTTTGTGATTTTATGCAGTAATTGGAGTGAAATCTCGTGTGGCAAAAAAACCCTGGTGTCATAAAACTGGCATTTTGGACAGTCATGGAGCAGCCGGGGGTGGTGGCTCAGGATGGGATGGCACATTATGAATCCTTTCTGTTACAATCACTGACTCAATGATGGCTGTGCTGGGCACACAGGGGTCGTGGGGGGTGCACATCATTATAAAGGGACCGCTCCATTCTGAGGAGTGGGAATATATCCTGTGTGTTTTATATTGTACAGTTTGGTCACTGTTGAGAGGTAGGTGAAGAAATTGGTTTTTAATTCCTAAGAAACAAAGGTGCATTTCAGTGGCAAATGGCTAAATTGGCTCCAAAGGCTCTGCAGTCACACAACTTGCTTTCCCACTCTCCCAGCAAGAGATAAAAACACAGGAGTTGTCTGAACTGAACAGTAAAGATGCTCACACAGGAATCCCTGAGAATTCCCCTTGCTGTGTTGGCAGCCCAAGTGATTCCCAGGTACATGATTCCCATTTCCCTTTCCTGTGCCTGGAAGGGAGATGCTGAGTTCCTGTGACCTGTGTCTGACACAGGAATTTGCTGGATGCACAGAGCAGCACATGGATTGTAGGATGGGCTGGGAGCTCGCTCTGCTTTGCATCCCTCATTTGCTTGTTGTTTAACTGATTCCTCTTGCTAAGAGGCTTTGGATTCCTGGGAGTGAAGCTCTGGATCCAGATTTTATCCTGTGTGTCTATTGCTGATAGTGGCAGCTTTTTTTTTGGTGAGGTGTAACTTTTCAGTCTTGTTTAAAAGTCATTTGGTGGATGTTAATGAAAAGCATCCCTAGAACCAACTGTGTGAATAAAACACACGACTGCTGGGTACAGGTGAGAAAAGCGAATCGGAAAAACTGTGGGATGTGACTCGTCTGCTTGGGAACACTGCGTTGGAAAGCATCAAGAAATCATCTTTCCATGGAAAACAATCAAGTAATTCAGGTGTGGTTCCCTGAGAAGCAGGTTGTTCTCTTTGGCATCAGTGATAAAAGTTCTTGTGGCAGAGAAGAGCTGGTTGTCTCCAGTAGCTCAACACCTGTACACAGATGAAGATGGCAGCCTTCCAAGTGCTGTTGGCAGGAAAATGCTACTCAACTCGTGTTCCAGAAATCCTGAAAAGGTGTTGCCTGAACAATTCGACCTTGCTGCTACACCTTAAAATATTGGAATTACAAGAGGGGCACAAGTGGTGCAGTAGAATGTTAGAATTCTTCATGTGACAAGATGAGGATGCAACTGGAACCCACTCACATCATGTCTTGTCTTGGAGACAGAGTGTGGGTGACCAAAGGACCATGAGCTGTTGTTGCTCCCAGGTAGCCAAATCTTTCCTGTGTTCTGGACCCTTCCAGTGGTTGTATCCGTAAGATCCTTTTGTTGGGTAGTGCCTCAAAAGCTGTACTTGCAAATAGGAAGTGTCCTTTAAACCAAGCGTGAGGTGCAAATTGCAGGAGGTGAAGGCTCAGTTCAGGGTCTCTTTCACTGAGGATGATGTTGTGGCAAGAGAGGGGGTGAAGAAAGGGGTTCCTTGCCATAAGACATGTCCTGAGTATCAAAAGGTCAGGATCTGATACCAGTTTCTTTGCTGCTGGGGTTACCCCTTCGTGCTCAGGGTCCTGACAGCAGCTTCCCCTTCAAGCCCTGTGACCACATCTAACTGCAGTGTTAAAGGAGGACTATCCTTCAAAAATTCCCATTTTCCAGGATTTCTAGTGCTGCCTGCTCCTCCCTAGGTCACTGTTGAGAGAGATGCAGTGTCTTCCAGCACAGAGACTGTGTCCTGTGCAACGCTGTGCAGGAAGTGTGGGATGTAAACCAAGTGGTCTGGTATAAAAATAGAGCTCCTGAATCACACTGATTGCTTTGGATAAATCCATTTTCCTTCTTGCTGAACTTCACAGCCTGACGTGAATCCTGTTTGAGTGGGTCCCACGGAACAGCCATTTAGGATGCTGTGCAATGCTGTATTTCTCTCAGGGAGAGGATGCCAAGGACAGGGAGGAGAGAGGAGGCAGCATTGCTATATTTGGCCAGAACTAAAATCCTTCTCAAGTCCTCCTTCAACTGTGCAGAACCCCAAGTAATCTCTAACTCTCTTGTGTCCGTCCGTCTCTGATTTGTGCAGATACTGCAGGCAAACAGCACCAACGTGGCCTGGGGGGATTTAAAATCCACGCCGATGAGTTGAATTAGCACCCATAGCCCAGTCCTGCAGCCTGACAAGCACCTCTGCAAGGCTGGTTGTCACAGGGTATGTTGTTGAATATTTGGCATCTTTTTTTCATACATTGCAAATAACCAAATTTCTTAGGGGAAAATAAAAAAAAAAAATAGTTTTTCATGTTGGAGGGAAAGAAAAGGTGATTTTGATCTGTAAGTGCTGCCTTCTGATCTCTCAGAGCCTTCTAGACAGGTTGAGTCTGTCAGGACCATAGAAAATTGGCCTTTTCTTGGTGCTTCTCATCTTCAGTGCAGTTCAGAATCTTGTTCAGAAGAAAATACTTGATTTGCCAGAATTTCTCATTTGTGGAGTAATTCTGATGCTAAAAAATACAGCCACCTCTCAAGGCTGGGAGCAGAAACAGTTCACTCTGTCTCTACACTTCAGACATTTTCATTATAACATTGTGCTTGCTTGGGGCTCCTTCATCACATAAATCTCCTTTTTGGAGATTGCCTGGACTGTGAAATATTGGCTGCCTGCCTTTATTGCTGCATTTCATCAGAGGGGAAGCAAAGTATCCCATGGACCTTGAGAGCTTCCTTTGGTGTTTGTATTGTAACATGTACACACTGTGTGATACTGTATTCAAAACTCTAATAAAAAAGAGAAACAAATAAAAAAAATGTGTGAGTAATTTTTTTTTTTTTTTTAAATCTATGTTGTGGTAATATGTGATGCACATCCAAGTGAGTTCCAGAAAATCTGGGATATCTTTCTTTTGCCTGGAAGTATTTCTCATAACGAAGCAAGGATTTAATTATTTGGAAAACAAAAAAAAAAAAAAGGAAGGGGAAAAAAGCCTTCCAAAATCATCTCTTCAGTCTGTGGTGACAGGAACATGATGCTTAGTGTTGGTTTGGTTGTTCAATCTCGTTAGTGTTGGTTGGGTTGTTAAAACCCACTGCCTCTGGAGTATCTGGGCATTCCCAAATTAAAGTAGCAAAGGGGATGACTTGGAGAAGTGCGGACTTCTCTTGGGGATTGAAGATCTGTCAGGTTGTGATCTCTGGGTGCGTAAATCCCCAGAAATGCAATTCCTTGGCAGTGACCTTGTTAAAGGTGGTTATTCCCATTTTGGGGCAGTGACTAATACAGGACTGCTGTGTGTTCTCTTCCAGACCTCAGAATACATCATCCAAGCCTACAAGTACGGGGCGTTTGAGAAGATCCCGGAATTCATTGCCTTCAGGAACAGGCTGAACTCTTCCCTTCACTTCGCCCAAGTTCGCACAGAGCGGATGTTGTTGGACCTCTTACTTGAAGCAAATATGTGAGTTCAGCACCTGGTGGGGGGGAACTGGGGGGTTTGTGCATGGGCAGAACACGGGTCAAGTGAGACCTTGGGGAGCTGCACCTGCAGCTCTGGCAGAAACATCTCTCTCCTCCTGGTGCTCCTCTCTGCCTTTAATGGTCTCAGGTTGTGCTGAGGAGGTTGAGATTAGATACTAGGAAAAATTCCTTCATGGAAGGGGTTGTCAAGCATTGGAACAGGCTGCCTGGGGAAGTGGTGGAGTCACCATCCCTGGAAGTGTTCAAAAAACATGTAAATGTGGCACTTTGAGGACGTGGTTTGGTGGTGAACATGGTGGTGGTGCTGAGCTGGTGGTTGGACTTGATGATCTTGGAGGTCTTTTCTAACTGTAAGATTTTAATCTGATTTTAATTTGCTTTTCCTTCATATCCTTGTCAGTGCCACATGTGTGCCACACTCCTGCCATCAGCAGAGCTGCACAGTGGGCAGAACATGGTCTGTTAGTGAGCTGTGATTTCTCTTTCCAGGGATCAGATGTTTGATTTAATGCTTGTTCTTATGTCCAGATCAACCAGTTTAGAAGAAAGTATAAAGTCCATGAGTCTGAGCCCAGAGGAGGATGACATTCCATGGAAAGATTTGCGTGATAACAGGGACCTGACAGTCTTGTTTAGCTGGGATCCAAAAGACAGGTGAGTAGAAATACCCTCAACTCTAGAGTCACCCTATTTCCTTACAACACACATGGCAAAGAAATTCCTTCCAGGGCAACAAAATTTAATGTTCCCTGGGCTGGCTGACTGCAGACTTAACAAGCACCATCCATCAGTTCTAGCAGTGCTGCCTTTTTATATATTAATAATTTTCTTAATTTCTGGCCACTCCTTCGTCTTCATCCATTCTAGGAGAGCTTTGGGTAGGCTTTTGTGCCTGAAGAAAGCTTTAGCTGCTGTGCAAAGTTGGAGCATTTCCCTGACAGCCTTTGGTGCCTTTCTGTAGGGACATTTCTGAAGAACATAGGAAGCTCTCACTGGAGGAAGAAACCCTGTGGTTGCGGATCCGGTCCTTGACTTTGAGGCTGGTGAGCGGCCTCCCGACTCTGAGCCACACCATCCAACCAAAGAACTCGGAAAAGACTGCAGAGAACGGCGTCTCCTCCAGGATTGACACCATCAGATCCCTGCTCCAGCAGCTGGAAGCGGTGGCGGATTCAGGGAAGAAGTTTCTAGAACAAAAAATTCAGGTACTACTGAGGCCAGAGCTCTTCCTGAATGTGAAACTGTGAATGTGAGCAGAGAACCTGCATCGTGTAACACCCCGCAGGCTGCACAGTGCACTTACCTGCCCCTGGGTTTGTGGGGTGTGAATGTGACTGGGAGATGTGCCAAACTCTGGGTTTGAGATGAGGAAAAGCTGCAACACCTTTATCTTTTTCTTTGCTTCTTGCCTAGTATCCTGTCCTTGGCCCTCCTCCCACCCGAATGGCTGGCTTCTTCAGCAATGGCAGCTGTCAGTGCCAGACTAGCTTGTTTTATCTTGTTAGTGATATTTATGAACTAGATACCAATGGCTTAGGTAAGTGTTTGGGGGCAGGGGTTTCACCAGATTGCCGTGGTGGGTGGGAGGGAGTGAGATGTGTCTCTGTTTGGTTTGAAAGCTGCTGGGCGTTGGATGATGTGGACCCAAAACTGTTACTTGTGTGTTAATTTTCTGTCTGACACTGAATTATCTGGGAGCCAGTGCCTTCATTTAATGTTTTGTGCAAGTCTTTGTTGTTGTAATTCTGGCTCCTCTTTGAAAGCAGTTGCATTTGCTTTTGACTGCTGACACTGAATTACATTTAAATGCCTCTTGGTTTTCTGGAAGCAGAAAATACAGAAATTTGTAGCTTATCATTTTGTATTTCTGTTTCTTTGCAGAAGATTCAGCAGAAATCCAGGAAAGAATAGGGAATAGTTTCAAGTCTTTAGTAGAACGACTGACAGGTAAATGGTAATTCCAGAATAGACACTGGTAGCTAAGGCAGTGCTTCCTGCTCCTCTGAGGATGCTGCAGGGCTGGGATGTGTTATTGCACCTGCAGACTGTGAAAGAAGGCTGAGATGGCCCTTGGCTTGTCTGATTGAAGCTGATGCATGCTCAGAATGTCCCCTGTCCTGTCACTGCACTTCCCCTGCAGCCCGGTCTGGCAAATCCTGTCTCCCCTGGGCCAGGGGGGCTGATGAAAGGTGTGGAGATGCTGTTTGTAGTGAAGCACAGTTCAGAGGAAGTGTGAGAGCTGGACCTTCTCATCAACTGCTTAGTGGGCAGTCCCCTCCCAGCTCTGAATGCTGCACTGAGATATGTCATGTACAGAAAATATGCAGTTATGGTGCTCTACTTTGTCCTTTTTCTTTCTTCTTTTCAGATTTGTTCAATAAATGTAAAGGTGATTTGATTGAAGTCAGAGATGGCACCTTGAAAACTCATCCAAACCTGTTAGAAAACTTAGTCTTCTTTGTTGAGGTATTTTGGGTGTTTTGGAAACCAGAAATTTGGGAGGACCGGGGGTAAAAATGTTGGGACTGAAACACAGTGAAAGTTTGATCTCAGTCACTCATGAGAGCAGAGATTTTGTTGCATATTCCATCTATTGTGAGTCTTACCAGGAGGAACACTAAAATGAGTTTAGAAGCCTCCTGTAAATGCAACCTGTAACACGTTTGTCCCTTTTTTCCAGACGATCTCCATTGCCCTGTGGGTATCAAGTTACTGTGACAGTGTCCTCCGACCTTTTAAATCCAACCTGCAAAAAAAGAAGAAGAAAAAAAAAGAAAGCAGTGTAGCTATGGTACAGACAATAATTCTTCTTTCCTCCCCTACCCCCAATCACAGCTTATTTATACTGAAAGAAAAATCAGCATAGATAACATGAGCATAAACTGGTTTTCGTAACCTCTGCCTTGTGGAGGCTGACGTGGGGTAAAGGTGACTCAGGGCTAATTTTTGGAAGTGCTGTTTAAAATCCAATGGTCATGTGGCACATGTGACATCATGTGACAGCTTTTTAATGGGAAACACTAAAGTCTAGAGTGTCACAGACCTTGAATGCACTACAGTAAACTTGTTAGCTTGGGAGTGTTTATCTGGGTAGGTAAAATATAGCTTAGCACTGGGGACAAGGGATAGAATGATGCTACAATGTGAGTTGTCAGATAGAATGGACATTAGTAAGTGTTTATAAATTAAAGATATGTATTTGTTTTTATAGCCACCTGTATTTACCCACTTCCTGGATTATGTAACTGAACTACAGACATTAACTTCCAATGTAATAGATCATATCAAAGGGCTTGAAATAATTCTGACTGCACTAAAACTTGAAGAGCTGTCCCTCAAGGACACTCTGCTTTTACAGGTAAGAGATACCCTTTGTAAACACTGTGGTCCTCACGAATTTTCTGTCAGTGTTTGAGATGGTGGATGAAATTTAAAGGGGGGATTTAAACAGTTGCTGTGCAGTGAATTATTTCTCTTTTGCATTTTGCAGGAAGAAAAAAAGTTTACAAAGACTGTACAAGGGAAGGTCCAGAGCAGTTACCATCACTCAGTTCAGGAAATTGGGGAGCTGCTGAAAAAGAGACTCGATACCATTAAAAAACTAAAGATTTGAGAAATGCATCCTTGACAGACTCCACAGGGGAGTGACACCAGAGTCCCAGACAGAAGCAACATCCACTATACCATCACTTTAATCCAGAACTTCCTCATAATGCATGAAGGACTTAAAATCATGAAACAATTTTTTTAGGTATTACAGATGTATTGAGCTGATTTAAATTATTGTACATAAATGAGAAGCAGGGACCCTTCACCGGGGTTTGACCACTTTTTATACATGTTCATAAGCATATTGCAACAGGAGAAAATTAACTTTCTTCCCTTCTGATCTCTAGAAACAACTGGAGATGGTCTTTAGAAGCAGCAATAGAAATCCAGTGTAAAGCATCTTTCTCCAAGGAGTTGTATTTTCATCACCATACAGTGTTTATAATTTTTGTATGGTCCTTGCCTTAGAAGTGCAGGAATTGTAGATGTCCACGTTCAGCCGCCTCTAATGAGATGAGCCTGGTTTGGAACTGCCTATTTTGTCTGCAGAGCACCTGGTCCTGCTGAAAGAATTCCATGTGTTGGTCCGTCAGGGAGAGGTGAGGCCACATGGGAGAACTCCCTCGGCTGGGACTCAGCTGGTTCCTCTGAGGAGAGAACAGAGGGAGGAGGTGTCGGTGCACACGCTGTGTTTTCACACTCAGAGAAACTGCCAGTGTGATGAGGAGCAAACTTCAGAGGGAGATGGGAACGGGCGTTTCAGCAAAAAAAGGACAAACCCAGAGACCTTGTATATAACATGTGCAGTGAAGTCTGACACTGCTGATATCATGTCAGTTTAACGTAAAACAGCAACAGTCATGACTTTTAAAAAGTGTATTTAGATTACTGAAACTTTAAGACTTCAATATTTTAATAGAAATGAAATCCTATTGGCTTTGGTTTTAAGTTGGCAGAGGTGACTTTTGCTTCCGCTGTGGAACGAGGCTGAGAACCCTTTTTGCACCTGTAGCTTGCTTTTTGCAGTTGAACTTGGATTATTCCAGTACTGGCTCATTAAGCTTTCTGTTAGAAAGTGTGATCATATCATCTGCTCCCACAGAATCTGCATTTCTGCTGGGTTTTTTCAGTTTAAAGGAGCAATGCAGCCTAGAAGTGATAGGCAAAAAAAGTTCATGTACCTGCAAAATAAGGGACAGGTCAGACTCCACAGATTCCTCATCTGATTTAAAGCAGCAGGTATCCAAGGTCTAGATTTAAAGTTTTGGGAGAGCTGACTGCCTTTGTCATCTCTTTTGTTTTGTTAGCAATGCTAGAATGTTGATGAGACTATTTTTTTAATAAATCCCCTCTATTAAAAAAAAAAAAAAGTCCCCATAGCTGCTCTTGCTGGATTTAGTTTTGCTTTGCCCCATCCTGAAAGGGAAAGGAATGTCTGCAGGTTGTCAAATTGTCATGGATGTCCTGATGGTTTACTCATGATGTCTGGTAAGTGCTCTGGGCTGGAGGAATACCAAAATGTGTTAAGTCTGTTTTATAGTAATACTTCTCCGGGGGGGGGGAAAAAAAAGAAAAGGAAAAAAACAAAACTGAACTCTTATATGTTGTATAGAAGTATCTTTTTTGAAAGAAAGGTGTGCTCCTTAAATTAAAGCAAGACTGGTGACCGAAGTTGGTGCTTTCAGATGTGCAGGGTGAGTGAAAACAGCCCCGGTGTGAGATGGTGCCAGTTCGGAGCAGCACTGAGCCAAAACCAGGCACTGCCCTTCTCAGTCACAGGGGCAAAGTGTCCCTGCTGCTGTCCCTGTCCCCTCCCTCCCCAGGCTTTGCTAATTCCAGAGGCTTTGCACGAACACCAGCACTGAATGCAAGGTTGTCACAGTGCCCTCAGCCAGAGGGGAAGGGGACAGTCCAGGGGCTGATCCACGCTGGGCTTTCCTTCCATTGCTGCTGCACCAGGTTGAACTCAGCCGGTTGTGTCAGTAAGCAGCGATGACACGAGTGAAGTGTGAGGTAACACGACCAAGTTTAAAATCCTCCTGTGGGCTGAAAGCAGAACTTAGGTTAAAAAAAGGTTTTCTGCATCAGCTCCCTTGAAAGCAGAATTGAAACTGCTGTGGGGGACGTGTGTCATCTGGGATGAGATGGAGCCATGGCTCACTCCCCGTCCCAGTGCTGGCAGCACAGGGGGAACAGTGACTGTTTCAGTGTTACCTGCTCTCCTCGTTCCAGTTCCAGCCACTGCTGAGCGATAACCTTGTCAAACAGAATTTTTGGATTACTCAGTGTTTTTTAAAACCATATGCCATCCTTTCCCAAGCTGTAGTTTCTCTTTAGGAGGAAGTGGTGTACAAAGATGACTCTGTACTGACTGACTGGGGGCTTGGTTGAGGGAGAATTTCTCTCCCCTTATAAATTGTGTACAGTTAAATATATTATATATTTCTTACAAAAGAGCATTTCCCCTCCAGAATATGTCCCACAGGGACCTGATACGAAATTCAAGTTATAACCCATTGCTGCTGTTCCCTTTCTTCCACCCTTAGGATTTGTTTTTGTTTGTTTTGGATTTTTCTTTTTTTGGGTGATGAATTGAAAAACATACCTAGAAGAAGCTACCAAGACTACTGTTTACAGACTGAAAAAAATACTGCTTTTGTACTACTGGGATCATGAGCCACGATCCTTTTACAGATTTCCTCAACTCCTCTCGGCTTAAAATCAGTGTCTGATGTAGATAAAGGTTGGAAATCTCCTACCCTGCTCTGTCTACACACAGGACAAACTGTACGATGCTTGTTTGTGTTGCCCATCATTTTTGTACTTTTTAACTGTTCAGAAATTGCATTTATATTTTGCAATCCTTGATAATCATGACTTTATTTTAACCGCTAGTAAACTTAGGGAATTTTTTGTTGTTGTTGTTGTATTTGCAGCCTTATCTGAACTTTCTCTTCCTTGATTCCTGTTAATTTATGACTGTAGGAGATGTGTACGCCTCGGCCTTCTACGGACTTAAGTGACACAACTGCAACTGAACTGCTTTAAACTGGATGGGTTTATAATTTATATAAAAGTCAGTTTCGTTACAAATCAGTATTGCTGCCTCTCATTTTTCTGTCTGGATGCAATCAAAGTGCTCATCTACACTATGGTTGTAAGCCCTTGGGTGAAGCCAGATTGTGCTGGTGCAGCACAAGCAGAAAATCAAATTACCTGCAAAGAGGGAGGTTGGAAAGAGGGGGGGATCCTCAGTGATGTCTGCTGGGGGAGGGGGCTGGGATGTGTCAGTGCTTTGACATGATGATCTGTCAGCCTGCTCTTCATGCTTTATGCATCGCTGGCTGAAATGCATGCAAATCTTTCGGTGCAGGAGATCTCTCCTGGTTATAATACAAAAACCCGCCCTGTCTGAGGGGGCTGTGGCAGTGCTATGGCAGTGCCCACCCTGGATAGAGATGCACACACCCTCCCTGCTAATCTGTGTGGCCAGATCCTGCCTCCTGCCTTTCCCTGCCTTCCTCCCCTGTGGAATTGCTGCTGGAAGCCGCTCGCTCGTCCTTCTTTCGCCGCAGCATCCCCCTCCCCGCGTGCTGTCCCGGGGGAGCGGGGCGGCCCGTGGGAGGTGCCCGTGGGAGGCACCCGCGGTCCCGCCCGGCGCCGCTCCCTCGGTGCCCGCGGGGCTGCGGGGCGGGGCGAGCCCCCGGCGGCGGCCGTCGCGCCGTCACGTGTCCCGGCAGCTCGGCTCCCTGCGCTCCGCCATGGCTGCGGCGGCGGCCGCGGGCTCGGTGCTGCTGTGCCTGCTCGGCCTGGCGCTGCCCGGCGGCAGCACGCTGCACACCAAGGGCTCCGTGCCGCTCGACACCGTCACCTTCTACAAGGTACGGCCCGCGGGCGCCGCCGCGCCCGGCGGAGCGCTCGGGGGGGCGGGCGGGGGCCGCGCAGGGCCGTGTGTCCCGCACCCCGCGGGCACTGCCGGGGGCTCGGGGCGCGGCGGGGCCGCGGAGCGGGGCCGGGGCCGCCAACACCGCGCGGGGAGCGCGCGGCGCCCGCGGAGCGGCCGCTCTGCGCCGCAGCCAATGGGAGCGCGGCGGCCGAGGCCGGCAGCCAATGGGAGCGCGGCGGCCGAGACCGGCAGCCAATGGGAGCGCGGCAGCCGCGGCCGGCAGCCAATCGGCGCGGTCCAAGTGGAGCGGAGCCGCGCCGTTCGGGGGTCCGGCCCGCGGGGGAGGGAAGGTCCGGCCCGAGGCACCGGGGGACGGGGAAGGAAGGTCCGGCCTCCACCGCCGCACCTGCCTCGGAGCTCCGGGCAGCGAGCAAAGAGCCGCCGTGGGCCGGCTGCGCTGCCCGTGCCAGTGAGCGAGTGAGCAGCGAGCCGGGGCCGTGAGCGCTCCCCGCCTGGGTGGCTTCGCTTTTGTTCGTCGAACAGAAAGCAACAGGGTTCCACGGGGTTTCGGGGTTTTTTTCCCTCCCCTAAATCAGTTTGCAAGGAAGGCGTTTTCCCAGGGCCATGTGCGCTTCCCACAGGCCCAAGACGGAGCCTTCAGCCACCTGTGCACGCAGGTGTTGTGTCAGTGCCTGAGCAGAGCGCTGTGTAGGTGGGGAGCTGTGCTGCAACCCCAACCTGTTCGTTACAACAAAAAGATTTTGCAAGGTCTTCTCCTCAGTCTCCAGCAGGGCGAGAAATTCAATTTCCAAGCTCATTCGAAAAGACATCACCCGAGCAGAGCAAGATTGGAGTGAAGAGGAATCGATTAAAATATGAATTCTCCATTTCCTGAGCCAGTACAGCACTTCCTCTGCCTCCCTGTGCCTCCTCTCCTAGCTCAGAGTGCAGCTCTCATGCTGGGACGTTTGGTCTCTCTCCTCTTCATGTCCCACTGGAAGTCATTTAGCTGATTTCCTTCCAAGATGTCAGTCAGATTTACAAGCAGATCTTATAATTAAAGGCATTATCAGCTCCTCCAAACCTACCACATATCATCTTTATCATCTGGTGCAGAATTAGACACCCAAAGCTCAGTCTTTCCTTCACACAGCACTGAGTCATTTTTGAAAGGCCATAATTATATAAAATTTCCATTCTCCCCCTGCATCTCTTCATTGTACAGGAAAAGAAGAACAAGCAGAAACAACCTTTGGTGACTTGTGGATTGCTCAGATCTGAAATAATCAAGTTTTCTCCTTTCCCCCCTCCCCTTTTTTTCTTCTTGTTTTAGGTTATTCCAAAGCATAAGTTTGTCCTGGTGAAATTTGACACACAATATCCCTATGGGGAGAAACAAGATGAGTTTAAAAAGCTGGCTGAGAGCTCAGGCTCCAGCGAGGACCTTCTGGTGGCTGAAGTGGGAATATCAGGTGAGGAGCCCTGGGCACATGGGAACAATGTGGGCTGCTGAGGAGGAGATGAATTCCAGTGAGATTTCTGCTGAGAACAGGCTCTGAGGCAATTCTGGGGGTGAGGGATGGATGTGAGACTGCCCTGGATGGTGGCTGAGCCCGCTGTGTGTGGGAGAGCTGCTTATCCACCTCAGCTGGGTAATGCAGGAGTCAGCCCACACTGCTGAACTGCTGCCACCCTCCTCAGCACTTCTGCCCCCTTTTATTTTTGCCTTCTTTGCCAAGAGAAACCTTTTTGTCCCATTTGCAGGGAAGAGGCCTTACAAGAATCACTCTTTAGCCACAATCCTGGTCAAACAAAGCATATTTAATGTGATTTATTCCATGTAGCAAACGCCAGGGCAGCACAGAAAGGGGCTGTTGCACTGTGGCTGCTGTAACTCGATGTGGTTTTAACTGGATTTAAGAGAGAAAAGCAGTGAAGAATAAATAGATCACTGTCACCTTACATGCTCTGGCTTTGTATGTAGAATAAGAATTTAAGGTTAATTGTCCAACTGAGAAATTTTACCCACATTTTCTAAGCGAACGTGGAATCCTCTAAGTGGCATAATCAAAGTGTCTTTGTTTTCTGTCCTCAAGAATAAGTGCTATTTATGTAAGTAATTTATGTAAGATGAGTAAACATCTTGTAGCTTGGCATGCTGTCAGAACTAAATCATTCTTTGCACATGGACAGGAAGAAATCTATTGAACTGTAAACTCAGATAAAGTAAATGGATAGAGGAAAACAAGGGAAAAAAAGGCTATTAGTGTCCCATAAGGAGGATGGGGTTTGTATGTAAAGATCTGCTCTCCCAGTCGCAGCAAAGCAGCATTAGAATCTTGTGTTTTTCTTTGGAGAACCAAGTGCTTTTTCAAGGTGTTTTTGTTTCAGTGTGTGGCATTTTCCTGGAACAGGCTCTCCAGGGCAGTGGTTGCAGCCCCAAGGCTGCCAGAGCTCAAGGAGTGTTTGGACAGCGCTCTCAGGGATAGAGTGGGATTATTGGGGTGTCTGTGCAGGGCCAGCAGTTGGACTGATCCTTGGGGGTCCTCCCAACTGAGGGTATTCTGTGATTTTATGATTTCCTGGTTGTTAGGACGTGTTGAAACTGGAGACAAGTATTTGTGTAGGAGGGAATCCTAAATTAATTTTTGATTAACTGTGTTTTTCTGTGTTCTGTTCTCTGTTGACAGACTACGGCGATAAACTGAACACCGAGCTGGGAGAGAAGTACAAGCTGGACAAGGAGAAGTTCCCTGTTTTTTACTTGTTCCAGGACGGTGACTTTGACAATCCCTTACCTTACGGTGGTGAGATCAAGGCCGGGGCTATTCAGCGCTGGCTGAAGAGCAGTGGCATCTACCTGGGGATGCCGGGCTGCCTGAAGGAGTACGACGTGCTGGCCAGCAAGTTTGTGAGCACCACGGAGAAATCCGAGCGCCAGGCCCTCCTGAAAAAGGGGCAGCAGAGCTTGGGAAAAGCTAAAGAAACCGAGAAGAAATCAGCTGAGCAATACTTGAAAATTATGAGCAAGATCCTGGAGCAGGGAGAGGAGTTTGCTGCGAACGAAGTCGTCCGAATCACAAAGCTGATCGAGAAGAACAAAATGAGTGATGGGAAGAAGGAGGAGCTCCAGAAAAGCCTCAATATCCTCGCTTCTTTCCTGAAGAAGAATAATGAAAAAGATGAGCTCTGATGTGTTGGAGAACTTTGTACAAGCTGTGAAATGTCAAGAGTCCTAACCAGTTCTCCTTATGCAAGCAAACTTCCCGCTGACTTCAAGAGAGCAGCAGATTTCCTTCTGGTATTTTCAGTTTTGGAAGATCAAGAGGAAGACATTCCTTGAAAACACAGTATTCTAAATGTTGGAAAAATCACCTAAAAGCAAAACAACAGTATTGTGTAATACTATTCAATAACAGTGTTAAGGCAGACAACAGCAAAAAAAGTATCAGATTGGCCAGAAGCACATTCTTGGTGGTTTTTACAGCTGTTCCCTGGCAAACAAATAACAAAATTCAGTCTTGCATTCCATCTTACATGTTGGAAAAGGTACAGATTGGGTGTCCTTTGTATCCCCACCTTTCCCTGTCCATAGTGTCCTTGGGTTTTATGCTTGTTAATCTACACCCCACACGCCTTTTGTTGCCTCAGTTGGGCTCCAAGTCTTCTTCTTACCTGTTGTTGACTAAGAGACCTGAAGTTTTCCTTTTTCTGCCTTCTCCTTCCATGGCTCCTGTCCCTGTTTGGTTTGGGTTTCAGCCAAATGCTGGCAATGAAAACAGTTCCTCCCCATATCACAACTTTAGCCTCATCTTCTGGCCAGAGCAGCCACTTCATCAGACATTCTCCTGAAATCCTTTATGGTACCCTGACAGTGAGTGATGTGAGCTCTGAGCAAGGGCAGAGTCTCCCTGAGGTGCTATTACACTCAGTCTCACCAGTTGGTGCAAAACTTCTTTTTCAGAGGTAAATTAGGGTGAGTTTTCTTATGATTGAAGAGCACGTGCAATGCCTGGGTGCCTCCAAGCTTCGTTTCCCAGGTTCAAAACGAGAAAGGTGAGACTAGTAACGACATCTGAAAGTCCTGAGATGTAGTTACATGAACAAAACATTTCCTCCAGCCTCCTGAAGCGATTGACACCGTCAGACTAAAGCTTCATCAGCGTTTGGTAGTTCTGAATATTTGAAAATGAGTTCTTGTAACAAGAAGCAGAAGTATTTGTGCCCTTAGAAGACTCATGTGTTTTATTTTAATGGAGATGCCTGGTCCAGGGATCAGGTGAGTCCTCAAAACTGTGCTGTTTACACTGTGGGATTCAGATGCCCCTGGAAGATGTCGAACCCCTCATCAGGGTTACAGAGAGTTGAAAAGAGAAACAACCTATGTGTTTTACCTTAAAACTATGCTTTAAGCAAAACTGATTGCTGTGGGAGCTTTGCTGCCTTTTGAATCCTGGGGTGGGTACAAGGAGCAGATGTTACTGCAAGATAAAATGTATTAATAATACAATAATAAAAAGGTTCCAATTCAGAGCTGCCTCTTGAAGCGTTTTCTAGAGAAACTGCTGCCGATTTGATGGTTGGAGGGGAGGCCGTGACTGATCAGCCAGATGATGCCAACTGAAAGCAAGAGGGGTGCCCAGGAGATGAAGGAAGCAGTGCGAGGGTGTCCCTCGGGCCAGGAGCTCTCTGCCCCTCAGAATGGGCGGGAAAGAATCCCGGCAAGGCGGAGGGTCCTGGTCAGGCCACGTGTGGAGTCGTGTCCCTCTTGGCTCCAGGTCCGGAGCCCCTGAGGCGCTGAGGGGAGCAGCCCCTGAGGGGACCATCTCCCGAGGCTCTGAGGGGAGCAGCCCCTGAGGGGACCATCTCCCGAGGCTCTGAGGGGAGCAGCCCCTGAGGGGACCATCTCCCGAGGCTCTGAGGGGAGCAGCCCCTGAGGGGACCATCTCCCGAGGCTCTGAGGGGAGCAGCCCCTGAGGGGACCATCTCCCGAGGCTCTGAGGGGAGCAGCCCCTGAGGGGACCATCTCCCGAGGCTCTGAGGGGAGCAGCCCCCGCAGGCCCCTCAGAGCCTTCCTCGAAGCTCTTTCCCGCCCCGTGGCGGTGTCGCCACGGCGAGGCGGTGCCGGGGCGCGGTGCCGAGCTCCACCACGGGCAGCTCCGCGGGGTCGCCTCGGGTCGGCTCCCGGGGCGGTGCCGGGGGCGAGCCCGCCCGCCGGGGCTCGGTGGGCTCTGCCCCCGGTGGACGCGCGGGACGCCGGTCCCGGGGCGACAACCCCGCTGTTCCCCGGGGCTCCTCACCCCCCCTGTACCACCGGGCTCTCCCGCAGCGGCCCCGCGGCGGGGGCCGGGCGCGGGGCGGCCCCGGGGCGGAGCGCGGGCGGTGCCCGCAGCCCCGGAGCGGTGCGGCGGCGGCGGCGGGACCCATGGCCCTGCCGGCGGAGGCGGCCCGGCTGGACGGGGGCTGGCAGGAGGTGAGCGAGCCCCGCCGGCACCGGGACCTTGCCGTGCGCGTCCCTTCTCCTCCATCCCCTCCCGCTCCATCCCCAGCCCGCCGGCACCGGCAGCGCTGCCCGCTCCTATCCGGGATCCCCCGGGTCCCGGCCCGTGCTGCCCGCTCCTGTCCGGGATCCCCCGGTCAGGGTCACCGGGCCGTGCTGCTCCTCCCCGGCACCTCGCGGTCCCCGTCCCGGTCCGTGCTGCCCGCTCCTATTCGGGATCCCTCGGTCCCCAGTCCCCGCTCCGTGGCCGCCACCTGAGCTCCGTCCTGTCCTTTCCTCAGGTCTACTCGGCGCTCCAGTGGATCCAGTTCACCATGGCCATGCTCAGGTACGGCGGGCTGAACGGAGTTACTATCGCAAAGGCGATTTTCTCCAGAAAAAAAAAAAAAAGAGAGAGAGAGAACTCGCGTACCCGGCGAGGCAGACGCGCTCCTGTTCCAACTTGTGCTTTGTTTTCTCAGCGTTGTAGGTTCCAGCTCGATTATTGCCTACGCCGTCTTCCAAAACGCAGTGAGGTCCCCCGAGGTAAGAGCTGTGCCTCCCTCTCCCTCCCTCAGCCGAGGTGTTTTTCCTGTGCAGGTGGATCACCTTGGAGCAGCTGCAGGTCTCAGGGTTATGCGGTTAAACCTTGTTTAACAGCTGGGAGGCAAAGGGCTTGACAAGATTTTGGCTCTTTGTCTGTGATAGGAGTTGAAGGGGCTGACCTTGAACTGTACCTGTGCAAGGAGAAGCAGGTCCCTCAGCCCCGTGCTTTCTGCTGCTCCGGTTGTTCTTGGGAGCAAGGATTTGTTAATGTGCCCTCCTCGGTGGGACAAAACTCCTGGAGTGCTGCGGAGCTGTGCACAAAGCTGCTGAAGTGCAAATTGGAGATGTGTCTGTGGAAATTCTTTTACAGGTCTTTGGGTGTCTCTGAGGAGATTTCCAGGCAGGTGCACTGCTAAAACTGATACAACTCAAAGATGCAGCTGATACAACTCAAAGTTCAGACAAAAAGAGGCTGAAAAGCAGTTTGTTGTGTTGGACTCTGCAGTGGGGCTTTGGAAGGGTCACCCCTGCCATGAACATTCCTCATGCTGAAGCTGTGGGACTCAGGTGCACACATCCCTTGGGGTGGGACAGCCTGCACGTGTGCTGCAGGTGGGACAGGAATGCAGTGCCTGGCACATCCTAAGGGGATCCCATGCACAGGTTATGCAGGAACCCCCTGAGGCTGAGATATATCTGACATACCAAGCAGGTGTCTGGCACGTGCACAGTATCCACAGACATCTGTCTCGTCCTGCCAGGCTTGGGTATCCACACATAGTCCCTCTGTGTGTCCCAGACTTCCCAGAGGTAGTGAGCAGAGCTAATCCCTGTGAAGCTGGGGTTTGGATTTGCAGGCAACAGGTTACTGTAAGAGCAGAAGGACAGTGGAGCTGCCAGCAGCTGTATCTGTCCTTCTCTCATCTTCACTGTTCTTTGTACATCGTGGGTTTGATGTGCAGCCCAGAGAACAGGATTTCCAGGGAATGCAGGGAGTTATTCCTGCAGAAGGGATGCAGGCAAGCCGACAGCTGACACATCGCTGGATGAAGCAGAGTGGGGAGGAGAACACGAGTCCAAGTTTGTAGGGCAAATCTACCCCCATTACAACACACAGGAGTCTTTCCTCCTGGAAATGCTCTGCCCAGCACATCCAGAAGGAGCTTTGGAGATCTCCATGCCTTTGCAGGGAGAAATGGAGGCTGGGACTTCGCCTTAGTGCTGGGATGGAAAACCTGCCTGAGCTTGTGCTGCTAAAGGTGCACATCAGAGGCTCCTTCTATCACATCTGCACCAGGAGAGCTCCACATGTGGTTCTCTCCTGGGGTCCTCCACTCTGGAATGATGCAGAGCTGGGTTTGGCAGGTGTCCTGGTGTGACTCAGCAGCCTCTTCCCGTTACTTCCATGGCCAGAAGCCTGGTCACTCAGGAGCCCTTCTACTCTCTCTCAATCATATGATGTGGCTGTGGCTTGGGAGCTGCTCGTGAGCCACACATGGCTCCAGGTCACAGATGGGCCCTTCCTGCTCGAGGGAGTCCAGATGTTTCTGCTCAGATTATTGCTTCAAATCCGGGTGGGAGGGGTGGGTGCCAGCTGGAGGGACTGCCCTGCACAGCCTTCCAGGCTCCTCTGCTGGTGCCAGGGGAGATCTGCTGCTGGGGTTTCAGAAGCGACACAATCTTCAGTAACTTCCCCATTGCCTTGTCCTCATGTTTCTGGTCTGCAGTGGAAGTTTGTAAACAAAGGGGCTGGAAGAGATCCATATCAAAGCTTGCCACAAACATATTCCCTGAGTCATGAGGACCCACAGCAAAATGTTTAAAAATAAACAGCTCTTGAGCCTGGGAGGAGAATGATGTTAGAAACACTTCCCCTCCTGTCCCCAGAAATCAAATATTGCATTCTTGAAGCTTTTCTGTCTTTATGGGGTCAATAAAACTCTTCAGCCTGAGCTAAATCATTCAGAAGAAAGCTCAGATCAACGGGTTGAAGGAAGAAATGTCAGCTCACCATGTGCCTGGGTGATGGCCACAAAGCCACATCACCGTGCGTGCTCCAGCCTGGCATCTGGAGCTGCCAGGATGGAAATCATTACGTCTTTCCAGTCCCTTCCTCTATTTTATAAATACCATTTGGTATTTGCTTTCCCCTTTTGCAAGTCAGAACCAAACTGGCTTCGCTTGTCACTGTCACCTACTTCTTTATTCAGGTCTGGGCCAAAACTCCTCGACCAGCCAGTGGTTCCTCGCTCCAAGGGCACTTGTTGCTGGGGAAAGGGGTCACCTGTTCGATTGCAAAAGTTGCTTCTTTGCTTATTTTAGAGCTGTTTGGTTTAACCTGCCCTGCTCACAAACTGGGTGGTGTCCCCAGCCTGTCGTGCCAGGGCTTCAGTTGTGCACCAGCAATGAAAAGACTGGTTAAAAAAGGCATATAAATGAAATTATATAAATATTAACTCCAGATATTTGTGCCATTATGCCTCAAAGGTAAATCTGGCTCAATCAGATCTACCTTACATTTTATCAGTCTTACTAATCTCCTTCTCATTGCTCATGGGAACAAGCACAACCCAGCACGATGGGTGGCAAATGTTTACTTCCAGGACAATATTGAGGCAAATCCCATCAGAAACTCAATTCCATGAAAAAAAAAATATAAAAACCACAGCCCCTTGAAATGTTTCCATGCTGTCTTTAACATTATAATTTTCTGTAGGGAAAGAAAACCACCATCGTTTTCTCTCCAGGATGCTGAAAATGAGGTACCAAAGGCTACAATTAAAAATGTAGATAATCAGGCTCCTTTTCCAGAGTGTCTGCTCTCCCACTAACGACAAAAATGTTGGCCAGAATTTTGCACAAATGTTTTCCTGCAGTGTTTACAGTCCTGGCCAGTGCTTGCAAACTGGAAATGGGCTGGAAACTGCTGTTAAAGGAGACGTGACTCTGTTCCAGCAGACTAATGGCTCTCAGTGGAAGTTAATCTGGCGTGTGACATAGACCCAGCCTTAGTCACCAGCTGAAAGGACATGGAACACAGGGGGAAAATGCCTGTTTAAAGTTAGTTCGTATCTGAAGAAGGGTTTGTGTTTGCCAAAAGTTTAATTTCTCTCTGAGTTGATTTAAAACATAATATCTCTCCTCCCTGCCAGCCTCCCCCATTCTGCAGAATTGTGAAATTATGGATATTTGAGTTATTTCCTGTAAGTTTTGATGCTGCTCTTGGATCCCAGTGGCAGAAAGGGTGGTTAGAGCAGGGGATGTTCCTTGGAACAGCTCCTGAGAGCACGAATTTATGTGGATTTTGTCTGCAAGGAGAGTTCACCAGCAGAGCAGGGGGATAACACTGTTCAGATAACACCTGATAACCTGATGTATTGATGTCCATGCTTGGTTGATTAGTCTCAGCACAATTAATCTTTCTACTAGGAATTGGTAGAGTCATTTTAAAGGACTGAAAAGAAGGGTGATATTTAGGAGTAACAGCTGAATTATTTCCATCTGAGAACTTTTCTTTAAACTCCCTTGGCTGTGAAAGTAGAGAGACTTTTTTACTTGAAGCTTTCAAGGTTTGCTGCAGTTAAATTGACTCTCAGAAATCTTGTCACAGTGCTTCCCTGAGGGTAAAATCATCCCTCTACAAAGTAAGTGCTACTCATACCCCACTTATCCTTAATTAAGGCTTTTAAAATAAGTTTGCAGTGGGACACTGGCCTTCTACTGACACTCATTCCTGCAGAAAAGGCTTTGGAAGGCTGTGTTTAATGTCTGTATGTCTGATACAGGGTAAAGCTGCAGCTGTGGGTGGGTGTGGGAGTGTTGTGGTGCCTCTCACACCTGATGAGACTTTTCTCTTCCCCCAGGTGCGTCCACTTTTCTACCTGAGCCTCTCTGACCTGTTTTTGGGAATGTGCTGGCTGGCTGGGGCTCTGCTCTACAGCTCACCCACTTCTCAGCAGGACCTCATCTGCTACAACCTGCAAGCAACGGGACAGGTAAGTGTCCCTAATCCTACCCCTGTGGCATCACATTCCTGCTGGAACAGTAATTTGCCACAATTAACCCTTCTGGTGATCACTGTGGCTGTGGGGGCTGTTTATAGACAGGTTTTGGCAGAGGCTCCCTGTGTGAACTTGACTTATTGAAGTCTTGCCTTTGTGTGGAAAAGGGAGATAATGACATTTGGGTTCAGGATCCTCTGGTGTGGGAGAGGCCATGAGGAAGGCAAAGACATCATGGGATTTTGTGGTTGCTTGTGTAAAGTGAGTGGATGGGGCTTGATCTCTTTCCTGCTGGATCCCTGCCCAGAGGATCTCTGTGCCTCTCAAAGAGCAGATTTTCTTTTCCTCTTTGTGCTTCCTCCAGCCTGGGCAGGAGCAGACACATTCTGGGACGCACTTGAGCTCACATTTACAGCATTACTCATATAAACATCCCTGCTCTTGGTTGATCTTCCCAAGGGTGCTCAGGGGCTGCTCCGTCAGCACAGGCTCAGCCCCAGTGATTCAGCTGCTTTCCAGCTGATTCCCTGTGCTGGAGACTAATTGGAGCAGAGGGAGTGAACTCCATTTTCCTGACAGTTTGCTTTTGTCTCACAGGGTTCCCTTTTCATAATAAGGCTTTGGAAATCACTGCTCCAAAAAAAACTGTACAGGATCAGAACTCTGCCGAGCCTGGGCCAGGACGGCGGTTCACAAGTGATGATCCGTGGGATTAACAGTTTCCTTTTAAAGGATGTGGCTGGGAAGAGCAAGGGGCTTTGGGGAGCCTTGGTGTGTGTTGTGTGGGCTCGGGAATCTCCCTGGGAGAGTGGTGGGAACTAAATATCCTCACTGAGCAGCAGCATCAGAAGTCAGAGAGGATCTCCGGGTGCCTTGGAGAGGGCAGGGAAGTAGCTACAGGTGTGGAATGGAGTTGTTCCTGCTGTTGTGGGGATGGGGATGGGTTCCTGCAGCCTGGGGGTGTTTCAGCAGCTGTTTTTGTGGGTACAAGTGTGTTCCTGAGGCTGTTGAGAGCAGCTGTTCCACCCCAGGCTCATCTCTGCTCTCTCCAGCTCCGCTGTGGAGGCTCCACAATGTGTTCCTGTCGAGAGATGAAACAGTGGGATGTGGGTAACTTGGCCTCTTGGGAATAATGCAGAACAGCATCAAAGGTTTTCAAGATGATGGTACAGGGGAAAATGAGGAGAGCTTGGGAAAGGCTTTCCAGAGCTGAAAGGTGGAAGGAGCAGGTGGGACTGAAGGTGTTCCTGAGCTGTTTCCCTTGCCTGGGGACAGTCCTTGATGAAGTGTGATCTTTTTTATGGCCTGGAGACAACAGATTGCACTGCTGGAGGAAAAATAGGTTGGATATAGACAATATGGCATCATTTCTCAGCTCCCATGCACTTCTGGCTGTTTCTGCCCTCCCTTTTCCAGCCTCTGGCTGTGCTTCTCAGGGACACCAGCACAGGAGGGGGGCAAAGTGGGAGCTTTGTTTTCATGCTGGGTGAGCAGAACTGGCCTTAGGTTAGTCCTTACAGGAGAGGGGACAGTCAGGGTGCTGTGGTGGGGTGTGCAGGGCCACATCCTGACCCCAGCCAGTGTCACCAGGCCCCTCTTCCACGTGCCACTCCAGTCCCCCCTGGCACAAGGACTGCCCCGGTAGCAGAGCTGGGTTGTGCCTGGCAAGAGCTGTCACTGCTGTTTGCTCTGGGAGAAATGAAAACAAATGGAGCACTTGCCATGGCAACCTGTCCACAGTGGGCACGTGACTGAGCAGGGCACCCCACCCCACACCCCCCTCTGCCCTTGGGGGTGTTGGGAACACCTTGTGCGTAAGAAGGAGCCAGGGAGAGGTTCAACCAGCAGCTTCTGTGGAGCAGAACCCGGTGGAATGAGCAAATAAATGTCTCACAGAGTGTCTCATAAACACACGTGGCTTCTCTGCACACCAGCACCTAGAAAAAGTCAGATGTCAGAGGGTGAGGATGGGCAGGGGGGCTCAGCAGGGTGTTTGCAGCTGGCAGCCCTTGGAGAGACTCACACCAGGGTCCCTGGGATGTCCCAAGGCATTGCCTCAGGAGCAGGACAATCTTTTGCCTTATTCGGGGTGTTTGCCCTCAGTTTATCACCATGGGCTGGTGTTTGCAGTGGATGGAGCTCCCCAACATCCCTAAAGGAGGAGATTGCTTTGCTTCTTGGGTTTTCCCTGTTTCAGCCCCAGAGCTTTGATTGACATTAATGTAAATACTGCTCCCTTTGCTGTCTCTTGACGTTGTTCTCTCCTCCTCCCTGCCTTGCCTCTGTGTTACAATAATAAAGTGCAGAATAAAGATTGTGGTTATAATTGCACAATTCCCCCACATTCTTCCAGTTCAGTTCCAGTGGCCTAATAATGTCCTGGCAGGCTCTGCCCACGCTGGGGAGCACAATGGGAGCCACACAAGAGGGATAATGAGGGCCTCTGGTGTCTCTGCTTGATCTCCTCATGGGAAGTGCTGCAGGACTGTCCCCAGCCCCAAAGCTGGGGCTCAGGAAAGCAGAATTCCCTTCACTTTCTGCTGGCGCCTTCCCAAGGGGCATTTGGTTCCCTCCACCAAACCAGAAGGCAGTGCTGACATTTCTTGAGCCTGAAGTGCAAGACAGCAATATTTGTGGACTTGGTTTTGATGACCTTCCCTGGAAGTAATTGAAAAAGGGCAGCAAACACTCATTAAAGCTCGTTTAATGAGCTGGAAAGTCACTGCAATGTTCCTGTTGCAATGTCACAGCCCCTTGGACTCGGCCCCTTGAGCCAGCCAAGAGCATTTGCCACCTCAGTGAAGGAGGCTGAGTTTGTTCAGTGACTCCTTTCCCAGACGTGGATGATCCCAGGGTGGCAAACCTGTGCTCCTTATCTTTTTGGCAAAGAAAAGAAATTCCCTTGTCCAGCCCTTCCTCTTTACCTTTGCCACTGAAGTGTGTGTTTCCTGTAACAAGCAGCACATGTGTGGACATGGTCTGATCAGGCAGCTTGGAGCAAACATGGATTTGAAAATAAATGGGATAAAGATTTGGGAGGTTTTGCAGGAAAGTTTAGATATTTGGTCTCATCTCAGGCTGTGAAACTCTCAGTGGGAAACAGTGTGCTCTGTCTTTTCTCTCCACTTTTTCCCTGGGAGAGAAAAGAGATTTTTGAGATGTTAATTCAGGCAGATATTCTCTGCCCTCACTTTCCTCTTTAAATATCCCATTGTTTTGCGTTTCCGTGAATTCTCAGTGTGGGGAGCTCATTATGCAAAAGTCTAAATGTCACATCTGTGTTGTTTCCTAATGGACGTAGCACAGAGAGGATCCAAGTGCCTTTGGACCTGTTGTTGCCAAAATTTGGGCTAAAAAATGAGCCAAATCACAAAGATTTGATTTTCTAAGACAGCCCTGCTGTCATTAGTTCTCCTGTCCCCTGTCTGAGCCCCAAGTGAAGCTGCCTTTGTGAGGTTTAAAGTGGGAGCCTCTCCTCAACCTGGCTCTTCCCACCTGGATGTGAGCACAAGGGGTTGTGAAGGATCCTCACCTTTGGCAGATATTTCTTCCTGCCTCTGTTCCACAGGCTTTGGATCATCAGGGAGGAAATAAATGGGCTACAGAAACTGTTATTATAGGACTGAAATGTTTGCATTTCCCAGATATTCTACGTGGCCTCTTTCCTCTACACTGTCAACTACACGTGGCACCTGTACAGGGACCTAAAGGTGAAGTACAACCAGAACCTCTTCAGGGTGCTCCCCCAGGTGAGTAGGACGGATGTGGAACAACAGTTGGGTGCCCAGGTCTGACTGTGGGGCATGGTGGGATGTGGGGGCTGCACACAGAACAGTTTACTCACCAAAAGGACCTTGAAGGCCCTTCTGCCCCGTGGCTGTATGAATTGATGAGGTCAGCAGAGTTACTGCTGGGTCTGTGAGAGCCTCTCAGCACTGGGGGCTGGGGAAGCAGTTGGCAGACCAGGGGTTTGCAGCAGCTGAATGACTGGTTTGGTGCTGTCACCAGACTGGTGAGTGCCCTCTGCCAGGGCACAGCAGAGGGACAGGAGAGCAGGGGGTACCTGGACAGCCTGGAACTGAGAACTGACAATTTCTGTCCTCCTCAGGTGTCACTCAGTAAGGGTTTGAGATAGAAGGTGTGAAGGGAACTAGTGCTAACAGGACCTGCTGGCTCGTGGAGCAGGGGCCAGTCCTCACTTCATCATCCCTGGCCTTTCCAAAAGCCCTTTGGGGCACCAGTGTAATCGCTGGGAACTGAGGAACAAGGACACAGCACTCAGGAAAACACTCCCTCCACTGCAGGCTGAGCAAACACTTCACACACCTCATGACCAAAATCCTCCCTGCAGTTGTTTCCCACCTCACTCCTGGCTAAACAGGGAGGCACCGTGACTGCTGGGTGGCTCCCTGTGTATTCCTGCAAGGTGGAATATTCCTGATGCAGCTCATCCCATCAAACTGCCCCAGACAGCCTTTTCTTCCCCAGACATTTGCTTTGTATCCCAGATATTCCATCTGTCAGTTCAGGAGCACCAGGCTGGGCAGATCACTCTAAATTTAAAGGGTTTTTATCCATAGGGTTTGGATCCACTTACAGGACTGGATTCCTTCTTGCTGGGCTCCCACACGTGCCATAATTCCCCACCCTTCAGTGTCCCACGGTGCACTGATGCTGCTGGGTGGGTCCCACTGCCAAAGCACATTTTCTGGTGAGCAGATACCAGGACACTCCAAACTGCCTGAATTTCTTCACCAGAACATGAAGTTTCTGAGGAACAGGGCCAAGTGAAGTGAATAAACAGTACAAAAAATAAGCAAGTCCCACCAGAGGGCTCATCAAGTCTCTGCTCCTTGTCCAGGTCTAAGTTCCCTTCTCTGATCCTCCTCCTGAAGCAGAACAGGACAGTCAGTGAGGGTTGATTCCGTTCCAAATCAGCACAGGCTGAACTTGGCCATGTTGACTCAGTGCAAACTAGAACCAAACATTTGTCCTGGGGATTAATCAGCGTTTGAAGGACCCTCAGCTGCTGAAATGCTCCCTGGGAGCTGGTTCCTGTGGACCAGGGAGCTGTACAGGAATGATGATTTAACTAAACTTGTTGGATTTTGCAGGCTGTAGATTATGCAAGTTGTGTCGGCCGAATAGCAACGATCTCGTCGAGGTAAGATTTAGTTCTCCCTGGCAGGATGAAGTAGATTTGTAAAATTTAATTCTCCCTGGCAGGATGATGTGGTTTTGGTAAGGTTTAGTTCTCCTTCTCCCTGGCAGGATGATGTGTTGTTGGTAAGGTTTAGTTCTCCCTGGCAGGATGATGTGGTTTGGCAAACTGCAGCGTGCTGATCTCTGCTTCCTACTTGTTTTGAAGCAAGATTTACTAAAGCCCGTAAAGCTCATCATTAACAGCAGTGTGACCTCACAAACACAGAGTAAGAGGGTTTTTTTAACCAAGTTAATCATAACTTTATTAACTAGATGTGGTTTTCCAGAAGGTGCTCCCTTGACCAATGATTAGCCCTCACGAATGAAAGCACCGACGTTGGTAAAGCTGATAAAATACTTTTCCAGAGCAATGTCAACAAAAACAATTTTAATTCCTCTGTAGTGACAGGAGAAAAACCAAGTGGTGTTTGCTGGGGGTGGGATGGAGCAGTGCAATAACCAGTGACTGTTCTGTTGTCCTGTCTCCTCTCAGCCTCATCCCTTTCCTCCTCATGGTGCCGGTGTTTTGCCTGGGCAACAGCAGTAATTGCTACCAGAACTTCAGCCAGAAGCACGGGTGAGCCTCAGCCCCTCTGGCACAGCCCCAGGGCTGCTGGGGCAGGGCAGGAGCTCAGGCTGTCCCCTTTGTCCCACAGCTGTCTCCTGATGCACACGGAGGTCGCCGTGACCACCAACGAGCCGCAGACCCTGAGCGGCTCCGTCTGCCGCGCGATGCATTTCTACGGCATCGGGGTCTTCCTCATATCCTTCCTCATCAGCTTCGTGGCCATTCTGGTAAGAAACATGGGCCTTTGCATCTCTGCATCTTTGCTTGGATGGCACCAGAAGCCAGGCTGTCATATGGAATGGTTTGGGTTGGAAGGGACCTTAAATCTCATCCAGTCCCACCTCCTGCCATGGGCAGGGACACCTTCCACCAGACCAGGTTGCTCCAAGCCCTGTCCAACCTGGCCTTGGACACTTCCATCATTTCTACCACCTCTCTGGGCAACCTGTCCCAGGGTCTCACCACCCTTTCTCCTCAGCATCCCATCTAAACCTCCTCTCTTTCAATTTGAAGCCATTTCCCCTTGTCCTTCCACTACAAGCTCTTGTAAATACGGCAGAGGAATAACTGGAGCAGGGGCCAATGTGGTGCTGCTTCCCTTTTGGAAGGGGTGGTAGGGGAGGGAAAATAGCACTGTGCCACCACATAAATCCATCTAGAGTCCTGTGTTCTGTCAGCCCATCCCCAAAAGGACTTAGCAGGTAGAGAAGGCTCTGCTTGGCAGCAGAGTTCACCTACTGCATAGTCAGCAGGAGGTGATTAATGTTTGGACTCAATGATCTTGAAGGTCTTTCCTTTTTGATTTTATGATTCTAAGAGCCTAAATCAATTCAGAGTCTTCAGTTTAGAAAAGGTCACATGCAAAGACACATCTTTCCCAGGATTTCTCCCCCTATTGTGGGAAAAGGCTGGATGGACTAAGGTGGGACCTGTCCTGGGTGAACCCAGCAGCTCCCAGCCCAAAAAACATCGTCTGTCTGTTCCCTTTCAGGTGATCCTCAGCCAGGCCCGAGGTCTGTACAAGAGGTTTGTGAACTCCACAGGGTTCCTGGGGGACCAGCAGTGGGCCATGATTAAGATGGTGGAACAACGAGTGGTCTTTTACCCCGTCGTGTTCTTCTGCTGCTGGGCCCCAGGTGAGCAGAGAGCTGAGTTCCTCCCACAGTGCTCCCCTGTGGAACTCCAGAGAGGTGGGGTTAAAGCAACACCCTCTTGTCCTTCCCTTTTCACAGCTGTCCTCCTTGGAATGCTGAAGTTGACTGTTTCAACAACCAGCAAGATCTACATGGCCCTGCTGATCCTGCAGGTAAATCTCTCTCCCTGCCACCTCCTGGGCATTTCCTTCTCACCCTGAGCCTCCTAATCCTGAGTCTGGTCCCAGCTGGATGCAGCTGGACAAGGATCACTCCGCGTGAGCCTGAGTCTGGTTTGTGCTTTTGGTTGGCAAAGATCTCTGGTGGGTGATTTGTGTGAAAAGGTCTCAGTAACCAAAATCCGGCACCATGAGGACACGGTTTAGTGGTGAACATGGTGGTGGTGCTGGGGTGATGCTGGACTTGGTTGTCTTAAAGGCCTTTTCCAACCTCAGCAATTCTTTGATCATGGAAATTGTAGCAAATAAGAGTAGAAAGGATCCCCAGAAATCAGTTTGGTTTTTTTCTCCTCTGTGTTTTCCCTGTGTCCCTAAGTCTCCAAAAGTGATTCCTTCATAACACTTGTCCAGCTGCTTCTTGTGGCTGGGACAGAATTTAGAAATTGTGTTATATAATTATTTAAAATATCTTATATATAATATATTAAAATATATTTCTAGAATATACATTTCTATGGGTTTATATATAATTAGATATTTATTAACTATTTGTTTAAAGAATCGTGAGATTGCTCTATCACACATGGGGTGCAGGTGAATAATGCTGAATCCAGAATTCCATGCTGGAAGTGGGAGGTTTTCCAGGCTGGCAGGGAGCTCAGAGCACTGTGCAGTGCTGGATTCCAGGAGCCCTGATCCCCCCTGTGCTCTGTCCCAGGCTCTCACAGCAGCTTCCCAGGGGCTCCTGAACTGCCTGGTGTATGGATGGACCCAGCACGTGTTCCTGTCCCTCAAACGCGGCGCCCGCCGGGACGTGGACACCCAGACCCCCCTCCTGCGCTCCCAGAAGAAGTTCTACTCCAGCACAGCCCCCACCAGCCCCCCAGACACTGAGGGCTCCACATCCACGCTGCTCTGAAGTGTCCTGCCAGCACCTCCTCGTGTTTTAGGAATGTCATCCAGACCCGGGATGGGGCTGTCGGCTCTGAACTGTCCCAGCCGTGGGGAGGGAGGAGCCTGAGCAGGTCTGTCAGAGACACTCAGTGGAGATAGTTATTTATTTTACAGGTCACGTGGACTCTAAATGAATTCTTTCAACATGGTAAATCTCTAGTCCAGACTTTCTGCTTCTGGAAATATCTCTAGAAATGCAGCAGATGGTGTGTAACAGCTCAGAGGTCTCATCCAGCTCCAGCAGAGGATGTTTTACTTCTCCAAGTATTTGTTTTATTTCTTGAAGTATTTGCCATTGCAAAATAACAGTAAAGCAAAGTGAATATTTTTCATATCTCTGACTTTGAATTCACTATAACCATGAGAACATGCACCATACTAAGAGCCAACTGCAGGGAATGAAGAACTGCAAAGCAGGATAAAAACATCAGTGCTCACTTCCATGCCTGGAATTCTGCACGTTTCCCTTCTGTTCTTCGTGCCAACCCCTGCTCAGCCACAATACTCACAAAAATCAGCTTCTTCAACCCTGTGGAGCATCATGAACCAGGTGAGCAGGATTAAATCTGAATCTCTCTCTACATTTCCAGATGCTCAAGTGAATTATTTACTGAGGTCCATCCATGATACAGAAAATAAAAAAGATCTTTAGCTGGGTTGAAAACAGCTCCCTTAATTTACACTCTTTATTTTCTAACAGCTTCACTTTTTGGGTCTAACCCAAATTTTTCACATAGCAGGTTATCCAAGAAGAGGAAATACTCCAGTTTGTGTAATTAACTTACACAACTGTGTAAACTGTGTGTCAGTCACACAATGCCCCTGGTGTTTTCGTCAATGACTGATTTTCCCTTACACAGTGAGGTTGAGCAAAACAATTCACTTTTGCTGTTCCACAGGACAAAACCCAGGTCCAGCTACAACCCTGTTTGCATCCAGATCAGTTTTAATGAGTCCTCTGCAGCTGGAGGCCAGGTCTAGTGCCTGAGTCCAGCTTTCCACTGCTGCCACGGGAAGTCCCACACAGGGGAGTTTTAACTCTCAGCAGCTTTTGAGGTGTCTTCTTCCACCTGGGCCTTTAAATCCTCCTCAGGAGCCTGTTCTCTAGTCCCAAAGTTCAGACATAATGTCCCCTTGGGAGTCACAAGCAAATACAGGGAGGTTTTATATTCCAAAATCTTTCTGCCTGAGGTGAATTGTGTAATTTACCCCCTGAGCGCTGATGATACAGGACACTTCATCCGGGCTGTTTCCGAACTGGGGGACAAGTTTCCTTGGAATGCCTGTCTCATAGGCTGTGTAGCCCCAGGAGTTCCAGGGGGAGGATGGGACCCACTCCCTGGCACAGCCCCCTCCCCTCAGGGGCACGAGGAAGCAGCACATTAAACACGATTAAACACCCCCATCTCCTCCCTGAGAGGCTCCCTGGGCTGACCCCATCTGGGGACAGCGTGACAAGCCAGTGCAATTTGTTTAAAAGGGGATTAAGGCTTCAGAAGTGGGAAGTGATGGAAGATTATCTGGGAAACAATGCCAGGATTGCTCATGGAGCTTCAGCTGTGGCAGTGAGAGCCCTCAGGGGGTGCTGACAGACCCTCACAAGCTCAACACATCACTCGGTTTGAGGGGAGTCTTCTTCCTGGACAGGGAAGGGCATTCCTTGGGCCACACTTCCTCCTGGAAGTAGGGCAGAGTAGTTTTGTGCCACTTCTGGAGAGCACTCCCAGCTGGTTTGGCTGCCTTTAAGTGCTCCCAGGAAATTGTTCTCTCACTCCCTTTCCCAGTTTGGATGCTCCAACCCATCCGACCCACTATTAATTCCTCAAAGGCACCAAGCAGACTGATGTTACCTCTCACTGAGAAGAGGCTCTGGACACTCACAGCTGCCCCACCATCCCTTCTCAGAGCCACTTTTGCTCATGGAACAAGGGACAATGGGATAAGGGTCTGTCTGGCTCCTGTCAACAAATCAAACCATACTTGAGGATAACAAAACTATTTCCAGAGGCAGGAAGGGCACAAGTGCCACACTGAGGTCACTCTTCTGTGTCCAGAAAGGTGAGGGGAGCACTCCAAGCTCCTTGGAAAAGCCCAGGGCCAGCCTGAAGACAGGCCAGTCCACTTCTCATGGACCAGTGTCTCCCAGTCCTGCCACAGGTTCCATCAGGGCTCCCACTTCACTCACCTCCAGATCAGCCCCTACAGAGATCATCCTCCTACAGGAAGTGCTTCCCAGTTCCAATGTCACTGAAATGGCACTGACAGGGGAATGTCACTGAACACAGAAGGACTCATCCCTCCCTCCCTCACTGCCCAGTCATGGCTACAACAATCCTACAAACCTGGGGGCTGAACTGGGAGCACTGGGCAGGTGCTGCTGCCAGCTAATGGAAAGCTGGGCTTAAAAAAGGCAGTTTTGGATTATGTTGCCAGGCAAAGCACACAAATTCCTAGGGATTCATCCAGCCCAGCCTGTCAGTCATCCTTTCATCTCACAGTAAAGCCAAGTGATTATTCCCATTGGTGAGGGAGGTGGGATGGGGGCTGAGAGTGGCAGGAGAATAATGGGATCATTAAGGTTGGAAAAGCCATCTAAGACTGAGCCAACATTCCCTCAGCACTGTCACATTCCCCACAAACCCATGTCCCCAAGTGCTGCATCCACACACCTTCTGGGCACTTCCAGGGAGAAGTGGGGTGGCAGGAGAATAATCGAATCCTTAAAGGTTGGAAAGCCCTCTAGGACCATTGAGTCCAACCTTTAACCCACCACCACCATGTTCACCTCCAACCCGTGTCCCCAGGTGCCACATTCACACACCTTCTGGACACTTCCAGGGAAAAGCGGGCTGGCAGGAGAATCCCAGAGCTGTCCTTCCTCCCCTCCTGCCCTGCAACCAAACAAAAGCAGCCAGGAACTGTTGAGTTTAGTAAAATCATTTATATACACCGAGGGGGAATATTTACAATATAATACTGATCCCAAAGGAACTAACAGGGAACACTGAGGAGAGAAATGGGAACATCTCAACACACAGAAGTTAAACGTGGCATGTGGGGACAGACTGGGATTTCCAAAATGAAAACCAGGAGTAAGGACAGCAAAACTTTGACATGTTGCTATTTCCAACTCAAATCTTTTGCCCAGTCAGGTTCTTCTAATTTTTAATACAGATATAAAAGCATAAAATAATCAATCACAGGAGAAGTCAGATATACACCAAATTTTGAAAAGGTCAAATGATTTCAAAGATTTTTCTTCACTTAAATAAAATTCTAAAAAAAAAAAACAAACCAAAAACAAACAACCTACAAAGCTTTCCCACATTTTTAGTGTTTGTACAAAGTCTTCTTTGATCCCATACAACCCTTCCAGCTCCAGATATTTACAATATTCACAGTCTGCCATAAAGGATCAGTAGATTTATTACCAAATAAAACCTTACAGAATCAAGACAAGATGTCCTGCATTTGTGTCAACCGAAAAATAAAATAAAACACAGGAAGGAGAAAGTCAAATGCTACTTTAAAATATGAAAATGAATCCATTAAGGTGTATTTAACTTTGAAATTTAAAACTTAACTTTTTAAAGAGACAAAAAAAATCAATTTTCTCATAGAAATAAAACCATTTGACCTTGAAGTTTCAAATTGTGTTTTCTTAATCTGTCCCTCCTCCCTCTGCTTCAGATCAGGCCTTTCTTACTTATACCAGACAATAAAATTTAGAGTAAATCCATAAAAAGCAGTTCTTTGTGACAAAATTCCAGTGCTCACCCTGGGAGTAGCTCCAATCTGATTCATCTTCCTGCCAACTTCTGTCTCCCAAAAAACTGCCTGAGTATTTTCCTCCTTGGAGGGCAGAATCACAAAGTGCCTTTGGAGGGAAGTTTTTGCACTCCTGTTCAAACACAGGTGATTTCTTGTTTCTATCTCTATTTGCCACACTTAAAACTTTCAATTTCCCCCAAAAAACATGGATTTCAAGTTAAAAGTGAAACCATCTTACATTTCCAGACTTGTGTGGACGCTGACATGACCTAGAATGAGAGCAAGGACAGAAATGCACATCACAGGCCCTGCAAAGTTGCTGATACAACCAAGAAATGACAAATATTCTTGTTTCTTGCTAATTCTCTTCAGTTTTCATGGACAGGTCAGTGCACAAATATCCCATGTAGTGTCAGAGGTACAATTCTGGCTCACACAAACACTCCCTGCTCCCATCAAAGTGATGGTGGAATAGGGACTGTTCTTCCTCTGCAGTAAATCAGGCATTGGAAAATGAAATCAGGATTAAAGGAAAGCTGACAAGGTGCTGACAGAGAAGGGGACATGAAGCATCTCCTTCATGTAGAAAAACTAAATCACCCTTTACAAAACTGTATAGAAAGAGTCAGACACTGCTTTGCCATCAACTAAAGGGAGTTTGATGTAGAAAAGAGACAACAAAGAACTGCCCTAAGAGAGAATTGGGGGTTTCATGGCTCAGGTTTTTCAATGTAAACCCAAAAGTGAGGAGCTCTGAAATACAATGTTCAAAGTCGTTACTTGTAGCCCTGAATTGGCACTTCAGTACAGACCAAACTCACTCAGTGTCTGCACAGGTTTGGTACCAAAATATCTCTATAAAAAGCCTCCACCCAGTCCCAAAAGAAAGAAAAGCAGCCAAAGGTAGAAAACTAGAAATATGTACAGATTCTGTCCATTTGTTTGCTTCATTAAGGTTAAAAAAAGCAGCTTTTGGAGCCAATGTTCCAGACTGGTGTAAGAACCTGCCCTGGGGAGGCAGCAAAGGGGACCTGTGGGAAGGAGCAGCCCTGGAGTTGTGGCTCCCCCAAAAAGGAGCTCAAAGGCATCAGAGAAATGGGAATTTGGGCTCTGGAGGGGACACAGGACATGGATCTCTGGGGGATCCCACAGCAGCACTGGGACCCCAGCCAGGATAATCCCTCAAACAAGAGGAAGAGTCTAAAACCAAGAGTTGGATCTCCTAGAAAGGAAAGAATGGGAATACAGGGTTGGATCACACACAACTGGGGGCTGAAGGAAACAAACCCAATGCTGAGTTTTGTCCATAGAAGATCCCACCATGAAAATAAAAACAACTTGTAATAAGAACTTGAACATTCTTCTGTTCTGCTGTTGGAGGAGGTGAGAAAAAGAAGAGTTTTATGCTGAATTCAGCCTTACAAAAGGTCTGAGGAAGATGAAGAGGGAGAAAGAGAGAAGGGTGAGGCTTGAAGAAAGTCTGGGGAAGATGGGAAGGAGACAAAAAGAGGAGAGTTACTGCTCAGAACTGAAAAGTCCAGCAAGCACATGGACTCAGATGCCCTGGGCAAGGTCAAGGGGGCTCTCAGGGCACTGAGCCACACTGAAGGTTATTTAATTTAGTTGCCTCTACTTAAAGAATCAGAATTTAGGTGCCAAGAGCAGCTATGAATTTGTGTTTCACAGCACTTGCTTCAAGTACTCACTGAGCAAGGGGTTAAACTGTGGCTCTTGTTCTCATACACAGTCACTGCAGTGCTGGATGGGGCAGATGGAAGCAGCTCCTGCAACTGGTTATTAAGAGAAAGAATGGTCTTTAGCAATATAATCCACCCCTTTTGGGGCCCTCATGATTAACAGTACATAAGTGATCGTAGAGACCTCAAGGAACTGAGTTTTAAAAAAATATTACAGTACCAATGATTTTTTTTTTTTGTATCTACAACTATACAGCATTTTCAAGCAGTATGGAAATTTAATGAAATAATTATGATTTATTAATTTACATAAAAATACTTTTTACAGTTAAAGAATAAATCTTAAATGGTAAAAAAAATAAGATTAAGAAGCTCCAGCTATTGAGAGTCGTGGGAGTTTGTTTGCTCTTCGATGACTTGTTTGACTATTTCTGCCAGTTTTAGTCGATCCACTTTGTCTGTGAATCCTCTGCCTGGAAGGGAAAGAACAGGGAGTCAGGTGCTGGGAACAAAGAAGGGAAGAAATCCTGGCTGGAGTTAAACAATGGTTCACACAAACTTAGGGCAAGAGAACCAAAATGAGTTACAATGTCTAGTTCTGTTGGAAAATTGAGCACTTAAAGACCTAAATTAAACCCAACCAAGCAAAACGGAATGAGGGAAGAAGCACAACCAAGCCCTGTGAGCCTGGATGATAGCCCTGGTCCCCTCTGCTCCTGGGGCTGACCCCTGTGCCACCCTGTTTTGTCCAGGAGCCATCTGAGCTGGCTCCCAAGGTGACTGTCCTGGTTCTCCCACCCAAGCCAAGCTGAGGAGATGTTGTGCTCACAGGGGTGAGGGCAGTGGCCTCCAGCAGAAAGAGGGAATGAACAGCTGGGAGGAAACCAGCTGAAGAGGTTCCTAAAGGGATCAGAGAATCATGGAATGGTTTGGGTTGGAAGGTATCTTAGAGCCCATCCAGTTCAACCCCTGTCATGGGCAGGATACCTTCCACTACCCCAGGTTGCTCCAAGCCCCATCCAACCTGGCCTTGGACACTTCCAGGGATCCAGGGGCAGCCACAGCTTTTCTGGGTAACCTGTGCCAGGGCTCACCACCCTCACAGGGAAGGATTCTTTCCCAATCTCCCACCTAACCCTGCCCTCTGGCAGTTTAAAACCATTCCCCCTTTTCCATCACAATCCATTTGTGCTGTTCTGTTCCTACACCACTTGGTGCCTCTGAAAACTCAACCCTGAACCTCAAACAGAGATTTTAAAGGAGAACTTTGTCCCTCATTTTGAGCACACCCATTCTGGCAGGAGGCCTGAATCACTGTGAAACCTAAACCAGCACAAATTCAGTAGATTTGGGGTTATTCCCACTCAGTTTTCCCCCTTCCCTGTGGAAGGAAGCAGCTCCTCACCGTTCCAGCTGAAGCTCTGCAGAGTGTCCCGCAGCAACTTGCACTCCCGGTTGTACTTCCAGGCCTCCTGCATCACCTCATTCAGCTTCTCATCCTCATTCTCTCCTGTTTGGGAGCACAAAGAGAACCAGGAGGTTTGGCCTCGTGCCTCACTCAGGGCTCCAGCCAACAGCACATGCAGTTGTTCCTTCTCTCCCCACACACACCAGGAAATGGGTTCAGAGCAGCCACTCCTGGCTCAAAGTTCTTTTCCCAGCTCTGCATGTCCCTGCTCACACTGATACCACACAAATCCCAGCCCACAGAGTGCCCAGGGCAGCAGGAGTTTTGTTTTTCCTCCCTCCCCACTGACACAGACTGACCCAAAGTCAGTGTCTTGCATGTTTAGAAATGGCAACTTTCTTAAAAGTGGCAACCTTTACCAGCCTGGGGGAGAATGCACTGGGCAATCACATCTCTCAGCTTCTCCAGAGCCACGTTGGAATCGTTGCTTCCGTTCTCAGGGTCATGGATATAAACCCCATCCTTTGGCTTGGTGCTGGGGAAGAACAAGGAGGAAATAATTAAGAGTTTGGTCACAGCTCAAGTTCATTACTCATTGCATAACTGCACCAGTAAAACACCCCCCTTCACTCCCTGGAGAGCTGGGAGACAGACTTGGCATTAATTATAATTATTGTCCTTTATTATGAGACCATTTGAAAAAGAAATATTCCTTTAAATTAGTTCAAGGAAGTCCTAAAATGCATTATCCTACTTTTCAGATTAACTTGAACAAAGAGAAATTACCTGACTTTTTCAGTAAGTAAGTGTCAGGATCATAAAAAAATCTTGGAATTCTTTCTCCCAGTTTGCCTTCTCTTGCACGTGACCCATCTCCTCGTAAGGGATCTGTTCTAACACAGTAACAGGATCCAGCTCCTCCCGCCCTCACCAGAACATCTCAGAAGCCAAACCACATTGTCCCAGTGACTCCAACTACACCAAGAGTTCAACCACCTCATAACTGAGCCTGGGACATTCCCAAAGCCCTGTTCCAGCCTCCCAGCTGCCCCTCTGTGTCCCTGGGAGCTTTAGTTACCCCAGCAGTTTCCGCTTGCGCAGGATCGGGTTGTTCACGGAGTGAAGGGGTTTCAGGCTCACTTTGAGGTCTTGGATCCTCATGTTTGCAAGTTGTTCTGCATGAGCCTGTTGGATCCCTGCAACCATGGCCTGGAAGGAGAAGAGTTGCACTTTAGATCCTCTGTGAATTAAGGAACAGTATGTGCACAATGTTAGCCATGCATGGGAAAAAGAAGCACCAAAATCCTGTTTGTTTTGGAGATATGGAACAAAAATCAGGTTTGCCTGAAGCAAGACATGATGAGAACTACGGTCATTGACTGTGGGATAATATATCCCAACCTCACAGGGGGAAACAGGACAAAGGATCATCTCTACTGCTCACGTTCACCACACCTGAGTGTTGAGTGAACTCCTCTTTGAGCAGAGTTGAAAAGAAACAAGGACTGAGGTCACAGTAGGGGTATAAAATGGGGGAAAAAGAAGAAAAGATTCCTATTTCACTACCATGCTCTGCTCTCTCCTCCTCAGCACATGGTTGCTCTTAACATCAATCCTGGAGCACCTCCCCCAAGCCCAAATTTCGCATTTTATTTCCATTTTCTCCCTCTTTCCATTTTCTTACAGAGATCTCAGGCTCTCCTAAACAAAACATTCCAACCATCCAAGAGCTGTCCTGCTCCTGTGCAACATTCCTGACCAAACTAATATTGTTTCTATGAATTCAGACCTTGTCCATCATCAGCTGGGCAGAGGGCAGGATGTTGTCCAGAGCCTCTGTGGAGTTGAGCCAGGGATGGTCCAACACACCCTCGATGGTCAGTCTCTCCTCAGGTTTGACCTTCAGCAGCCTGGAAAAATAATCCATAAAGTGGGTTTTGTTGATTTGCAGAGCACTGAACAATCTCTGAGCATCACAGGGGTCAAAAAGGAACTCCACAACAGCTCAAACTGCCCCAAAAGCAGCCTGACTTTGTCCCAGGTTCTCTGAGTCTTGCTGTGGATTTATTTAACAAGCTCATCCAGGTACATTAAGGGATTCAGGGTAAAGGAAAGGTGCTGAGGGGCCATTTCAGGAATATCTGTGTGTTCTCAGATTGGAAATTATCTCCCAGACGAGCTGGAAATCATCCAGACCAACAGACCCTGGAAATGCTCTTCTAGAGCTCATCCTTGTAACAGGCCACACTCATTCCAAGGATTTTGGGCATGGAAACTTCACTGAATTAACTGTTTCCAACTGCAACTCCTTAGCTTTTCTTCCCCTGCAAAACCCTCAAGGAATGGACATTTTGACAGGCTCCAGTTCCTCAAAATAAGAAGGAACTTTATTCTTTATTGCTAAAAAATCCATGGAATAAATGCTACTAGAATGAAACCCTGGAAAGAGGTTTTGCAGGTAAGCTCATATTCTCATGATGAACTGCTCCATAAAAAAGCCAAATTCCCCCCAGAGTGCTGACAAGTTCTCCCAAGAGTCTGAATTAGAACCAGGAGGACTCCAGGAGGTTGTCACATTCCTTAGACAATTCCCTAAATCAGTTCCTGGCTGCAAACGTTGTTTAATTTACCAAGGAAGTGGAAATAACTTGTGCAAAATGTCAGCAGGACCCTGGGGTAGCTCAGAAACCTCACTTGCTGCCAACAGGTTGTAAGTTCAGTTTTGATATGAGACCCAGGCATTCATTTTCCATGGGTTTTCCAAGTCCTGACCTGTTTATTATCCAGCCCTCCAGCTCCCAAAGCTTAAGGTGGGAAATGAGCTCGACACACTTGAGAGGCAGCAGCTTCCTGAATGCCAAATACGAGCTCCAAAAGCCAGACTCCATAGGAAGAGCTGCCTACACCCATCAAATGTAAACTAAGCCAGAATTATATTAATTCTAAGTGTATTCCTACACCATAAGCCCAACTTCAGACTCCCTGGCTGGAACAGACAGGCAGGGAAAGGAGTCCTGATAACATCAGTGGGATAAATAAGTGAACTGAATCCACATGACAATGTTCTGTGAGCTGAGTCTATGGTCATTTTAAAAGACAATAAAACTTTTGGCTTTTAACACCTTTAAACCTTTTGTGTAAAGCAAAGTTTCCCTGCAGTTTTTGTGGGGAAAGGTTGTGGGTTCTCCTGCACTGCTCCAAAGGTCCCAGCAATATGAAGTCCTTGGAGATTTTACAGTATCTTTGAGGAACCAGTAACACTTTAAAATTACTTCCCCAACTGATTTTTTTCCTATTTATGTTGTTTTTATTCTTTCAGTTCCTCTGGTCATACAAAGGCAGTAAGTCCCTCTCACTCTTTAGAAAATAAGCCCCAGTCAGTGCCACGTTCTGGCTTTCAAACAGCCCCTGTCTGGGAAACTCTCCCAGCTGAGAGATGTGCAGGGCATGCAAAAAACAGCTTCCATGAGCATTTGGAATAAAACTTCAATGCAAACCCTCATCCCAGAGCCTGATACCTTCAGGGCAGATCTTATCCTGCCTTTCCCTGCTTCTCTTGACTCCTTTGAGGCTGAGTATGATGTGCACTTGGTTTTAAGGGAGAGATCTAGCAGATCTTATTAAACCACCTGATTTTAGCAGGAATTTAAACATTATTGTACAGGATCCAAGAGCACCTGATGTGGCAGCCACTTGTGTGTGTTGTTCTGAACCCTTTGGTGCATCTGCTGCCCTTAAAGACTAAACTCACAATTCACTCTTAAGAAATTCATAAACATCAAAATTAAACAGTTGGGGATGGAAAAAAAGAAGGGAAGAAAAATATTTACCAGACTTTATGCTGAATATGACAGAAGATCTGTCAGCTGTATGAGCTGCAGACAAGGTAGAAGAACAACCCCTTTGGGAAAACAGATTTTCAAGGGACTTTTCAACCTTTTAATACCAGAAAGAGCAATAAAACACTTCCCTCCCCGGACTCACTTCCGCACGATGTCCTTGGCCATCTCGGAGATCTGGCTCCACTCCTCCTCTGGGAATTCAAAGCTTCCTGTCATGATCTTCTTCCTCATGTCCTTTGGGATGGTCCTGCTGTGGTGTTTGGAGTAGAAGGGGGGGTACCCACACAGCATCACGTAGATGATGACACCCAGGGACCAGAGGTCACAGCTCTGCAAGCAAGGACAGCACCACTCCGGGTCAGCTCTGCAGCACTGGGGGAGCTACTGCAGAACAAGTGTCTGCCTTCAACCCCCACCCTGCTTCTCCAGGGTGGAGAAGAGGGAATCAGAACCCTGGAGAAGGTGGATTTGTGGTCAGGAAACCACTGCAGAGTAGTTAATCTTTGCTTTAGCTCTCTATAGGAGGCTACCAAACCCTAATACCACATATCAAACTACCTGCTCCAGCACATGGTGGGTTAAACAGCTGGAACTCAGGTAGATCCTTAGCACTGGCATCAGAAACCAGCTAATTTTAATTAGAGCTGACACTCCAAGAATACTCAGTGGTTCAAACACTGTTCAGCAAGCAGGAGACAGCGATGAGAATATGAAGAAAAAGGTTTTGGAATGCCCAAAAAGGAATACAACCCTTTAGGACACTTTGCCAAGGGTCCAGCAGCAGCTGGTACTGCCCAGGGCTATAAAATAAAATGCCCAGAATAAAATACTGGGCATTTTCTAGAAGTTCCCAGATACAGACTGGACAAAACATCTGCACATCCAGAAGCTCTGGGTGACAGCAGGAAAGAGGATCCCTGTGAACAGCTTCTTGTAGGGATGAAAGAACCTCCCCCATGGTCTCACTCCAGCAGAATCATTCTGCTCTCTCCAAAATCTTTTCATATTTAGTGCTCCTTAACAGTGTTTGTGTGTTTCTCCTTTAATTAGAGGATCACTAATTAGGGTTGAGCTAAGTGTGCATTTCATTATTCCCTCCATCAGAAAGAACCAAGAGGCAGCAGCACTGTCAGTGTGTCACTTCCAAACCCAGACAGAGCCTGCAGAGATAATTATCTCCTCATTTGCCACTTCAACTGAGTGAAGCCTGGTCTGAACCTCCTGTTCAAGGAGAAATCCCACTGCAAACCTGGTCACTCCTTCAGAAAAGCCAAAGGAACACAAAATAACCAGCAACATCACACTTCCCTGCTGGTTTCTCTAGATCCTGCTTGTATTCAGTGTGAGAAATTTGGCTTTTTAGATGCATTCCTGTCACAGATCAGAGCAAATTTATTGCTGCTGTAAGGGTGTCATTTTAGGGCAATAAACTTTATTGCCTTGGGTGTTAAATTGTGCCTACAGATTTCTACATTGTGCCTACAGGGTTGGTGGGGAAGGCACTTTACAAACACTGTTTAAAGCACCGTTTCCCACTCACCTTGTTGTAAGTGTAGGGTGTTGGAGAGGTGGGGATAATACCAGATTTTTCTTTCTGATGTCTTCTCTGTGCCTCCAATACCTGTTGCCATGAGAGGAAAAAAAAAAACAAAAAACAAAATACATCTCATCTATAGGCAAGAGGATTCTGGATGTTTTTCCATTCTGTAAACTTATTCCAGCTACTGAAGGCTTTTTCAAACTCAAAATTTTGTTCCTAAAGAAGACTGGGACTTTCTACATTCATCTAAAATATTTTGCTGCTTTGAATGAAATTTATCAGTTTTGCCTGAATTAAAGCAACTGCTCCCAACTTCCAACACCTCCGGGCTTGGAATTAGAACCCAGAGTGTGTCTGGAGGGTAACCTGAGCTCCAGAGATGTCCCTTTTTGCCTCTCCCAGGAACAAATGACACCAAATCTGTCCCTTGCTGACCAAATCTGAGGGTTTGGGTTTCCAGAAGGCCCGGGAGGCTCCAGCTGAGGAGGCACTTTCAGGGTCTGATCTCTGAGTTGCTCTTCCCAGTGATTAAAGGCTCTGACGTGCCCAGCACTTCAATTAAAGATCCATCTGCAGTTTTCTTTTCATTTTCTTCAGGATTCCAACACAAAGGACAGAAGAAAGCAGCACTACAAAGAGCAGCCTGTCTGTAATTATAGATTGTGCCTTAATGACAAGGGGCCAAGCCAAGGTGCTCAGGTAACCACTGCCCTTTTTGAGCCTTTTCAGAGCCTTTTTGTTCCAGCACAGTCCTTTTTAATGTAATACTGAATGAGTCTGAGCTGGAAGGAGGATGGGAAAGCAGGAACTTCTCCAAAACACGTGCTTTAATGCAGTTAAAGGTCAATGGACAAAATCAATGCTAAGAACAGTCTGGGAAATCTGCCTCACCATCCCCTGCTCTTATCAACACATCACTGTGACACTCCGCTCCAAAGGTCGTTAATCTCCAATTATTCAAGATTCCTGCCCCCAGAAGCCCTGAACAGGACAGCAAAGGCTTTTAGAATGCTGTAGTTCTGGAGGCACAGGCAAGAAATTATTCCCTTTTAGCCCAGAAGTGTGATTTTTGTTACCTGAGGTGCTACGTAATACGGAGTGAACTGTGGTGTCATCAAGTCACCTTGGTCTACTTTGGCAAATCCAAAGTCACACAGTTTAACAGGAGCATCCTGAAATAAGGAGAAGAGGCTTCATTACATAAATCTCATTATATCAGCTTTTCTAACACATAAGTCTTGCCTTGTTCTCATCTCACCTTTGCCACACGTACTCCTCATCTGTATTCACACACTCACATTCCCCCAAGCTAAAAGGACAAAAACTGATCTTTCAAACAAGCATTTTTGCTTTCCTGAGTGCTCTGGGTCAGGAACAGCCCCCTCTGAGATTGGGAAAGCAATAAACACGTTGTAGGGGGGTCACTGCATGTCCAGGGTGGTTATGAGCAGGAAAAAGAAACAAGGAAGTGTTTGGATCTATCAAAGCCCCTCTAATGCTTGTCAGAACATCCTGATTATGTGGCAGAATGATCTTCTCCTGAGCAAAGCTGGATTTGTGTAGAGCTGGAGAACCTGCCTCATATTTAACAGACTGTGCTCCAAGGAGATCAGAGAATGTACAAGCACAAAGTCAATAAAGGTGATTAATGTAATTTTACAACTATTCTGAAAATCACCATTTTACAGAATTCAGCAGTAAAAAAAAAAAAGAATTCTAGTATTCATCTTACCAGAGAGTTATCCTTGAAGAGGAGATTCTCAGGCTTGAGGTCTCTGTGTGCAATGTTTAGTGAGTGGCAATGCTGCAAAGCCAAAGCTATCTGGAAAAGGGCACAATAAATGAGCTACAGTTACAGAACTCCTGCATCAGCCTGGACATTATTTTAGCTTTAGAAAAAGGACATTTCCTATGTATGTCAGACCCCAAACATTCTCACTGCACTTGGCTGCAAGGCTGAGTTCAGACAGGCCTGACCCTGCAATAAGGGCAGTGAAGTGATGGGTGGGACATTCATCCCACCAAGGATTCAGTTTGTGTTTCACTCAAAGCAAACAGGAAACAAAAGCCAAGCTGGACTGGGCTGCCCAACCACCTCATTTGACTCAATCAAGGCATTAATGACCACCCAAAATGGAACAGATCTGACAGTGCCCTTCCCTGTGCTGTGCCAGCCCTCCAAGGTGCCCCTGCCCAGCAACCACACCCTGCTTAACACCCAACAGCTTCAGTATTTCTGTGAATGTTTTATTGCACCTGTTACTGATTGAGATCCAACATTCAGGCAGTTTTATTCTTTAATTTCTGATGGCACTGCCTGCACTTCCCTCATTACATGGGCCATCACACAGAAATGCACTCCACGATCCTTTCAAAGGCACTTTCTCACCTTGCTGTGGTTTGGAAACCCAGGAAAACTCCAGGGAATGGACATTTCCAAGTGCAATTCATTCAAAGAAAACCCAAGCATAAATATTTAAACAGCTTTACTGAGGCTGAAGGAAGGCAAAGCCACACAGCCCTTATTTGGAAATATTTCTGTTGGGTTCTGCAGGATCCCACCCAAACCCAGCACCCTGAGGGAAGTGTTGACGCCTTAGAAAAGTGCAAATTACTGTCACATGAGAACTTTGGTGTTAATTTAGCTCAGAACCAAACAGAAACACATTCCCAGAGAAAATGAGGCAGCTCTGTGACACATTCTAGCTTTTACAGGCTACAAGGAATCAAGAGTCACAGTTCAGGATAAATCACTATATGAAACAATAAGATTTTAACATTTCAAACTTCATTTCTATAAACATTAAAGCCAAGAGTCACTTGGGACATGAATACCCCAAGTGCACACACAGAGTAAGAATTTAATTCAAAATTTTGATTTTTGGTGAAGTGTTACAAGATTTTCCCAACATGTCAGAATCAAACAGCCCAAAGCACATGAAAAACTGTCAGGAAGAATTCTGTGCTTCCAAATTTTTACTGGATGAAACCAAAGAGGCAACAGCAACAATTAGCACTTCATTAGAAACAAGTCAAAGCACAAAAGAGAAAAGTAAGATGGAATTATTTGGGCCTCTTTTTAGCGTCAGTACCAAATATTATCTCCCCATTTGAGGGGAACTGACCCTGGGGATCCCTGAATTTCATGGAGTCACACCAGATGCTAAGAACAAAGAGCCTGATGGACACCAAAACCTCTTGTAGAAACCACCATGGAGTGTTTAAAACTCTTTCATGTATGTAAACTGCAAATATATTTAAAATACAGCATTCAAGAGTGAGCTGTGCAGAGAAACAGTGAAGGGAAAACAACACCAGAACAAACAGCACAGAAAACAGGCACTAAAGTGGCACATTCCTTGTTATCTTCCATGAAGGGCAGGACTTCCATAAAACCAAACATAAAGCCCAGCTTGGAATCCACTGGCCCAGGACACATGGGCCCAAAAGAGGAGAGAAGTTTGGGACACATTCCCAACTGGAATCAAACTGGAGCCACGAGAGCCTGGGGGCTGCTGGAGGCAACACTTTTAGGACAACAGAGAGGACACAGCAGGAGAAAAAAAAGTTCTCTTTGAAGTGTTCTATAGACCAGGTGAGGAAAACCACTGTTAAAGACAGCAGACCCAAAGAACAAGCCCACAACTTCAAACTCTTTATTATTTTCTACCAAACTTCGGCATTGTCAGGTTATAACAAAGCAGGCAAATGATCATCGGATCAGAAGACAGGATTATTTTCTTTAGGCCTTTTTTTCCACCCCTCCCAGCCCAAGGAATTGTTAATAATATTTAGCCATTATCACTTGTGGATTTGCTCAGACAGGGGAGTGACTTGCCTGCTTTGTTACTTGGCTTGCTTGCTTCTCAGTAAAGTGCCGGTGCTGGCTGATTCTGTGAAAGAGCTCTCCCCCTTCCATCATCTCCATTACAATTAGGAGCCGAGCCCTGTTCAAAAGCATTTCATTTTGTTACATTAAAAATCATTAAATAAAAAAAAAAATAGAACAGAATTTCTAAACTAACAGTGCATATTTTACATTTACTGACAGGCCAAGACATTTGTTTCTCCTACAGTGGTTGGAGCTGCTTTGGTTCCCTAAGTTTGGTTTCCTAGTTTTAATTCTTCTGCTTTTGGTACTTTTGCTGCTTTTGGTTCTTTTGGCTTTGGTTCTTTCAGCTTTAACTGTATAAACTGCAGGATTTTCTGGCTCCCAGCACAACCTGACTCAGCCAGGAATCTCCACTTTGCTCCCCCTGAGGAAACAATGTCCACACGGACGCATCCAGATCCAGGTGGCTCCACCCAGTTTGGCCCTGGAAGGCACGTGGACACATCCAGGAATAACTCTGCCCCCAAAGAACAGATGCTTTTGGGTGTGGATGCTCTACTGAACCCCAGGATTTTAATTTACAGCTTTACTGTCATAATTAGGAAGGAATATAGGGAACACGGAGACCAGGACTGGTGGATCCTCAAGGAATTAACTCCTAGTTATCCTCATACAGCAAAATCAGACACATCAGAGACTAGGACAGGTCTCAGCTCTTTAGTTCTCCCAGCTCTGATGCTTTTTCTCAACTAATATCCAATTAGAAGACAATATTTTTATCCCAAGTGATTAATGCAGGAAAAAAAAAATCAGTCTGCTTCATGTTTTTCTCTTTTTCTGTGTTCATATTAAGAGTTTTCAGGGCTGAATTTAGTATTTTTAGAAACAATTCTTTCTCTCACACAGCACAGATATCACAGACTGAATCAATGAAAAACCTAAGAAATGGAGATGTACTCAAACAGGTAGGAAAGGATGCAAATTAATTTAAATATACATTGCCAGGGGAAAAAGCAAGTGTTGCCTGGTTTGAAGGATAAATATGGTATTAAATATGACATCTGGGACTCCCTATAAATAATAATTTTGTGATTAAAAACAAACAAACAAAAAAGCAAACTGCACTATACCTTGGGCTAAACATGGAAAGCTGTGGGAATGACCCCCCTATGTAATCTTACCTTGGGCTGGACTCATGTGGGAACTGCACACTGTTAGCATAAACTTCAATAATTTGAACAATATTGGGATGTGTTGCACACATCATGTGCAGACGTACCTTGAAGAGAAGGGAGGGGTGTTACTGCACACAGGGACAGGCACTTCTGATCCCCCTTTCCCCTGCAAACCACAGCCCAGCTCTGCTCAGCACCACTCACAGCTTCAAATTATCCAAGAATTAAGAAGTAAGTGTTGATATGAGTGACCAGCAGCCATTCCACTAACTCAGACTATGATAAAAACATCAGATATTGTCAATCTATTTGTTACAAGCCACGGAATCATCCTCAAAGTTCCAGAAAAAGCTCTTTTTTTTTTTTTTATTTCTTCGAGTTTCTAAAATAAATTTAAAGGCAGAGCTTGTTTTAAAGTAGCAACAGAGACAGGACTGAAAGTGAAAATTAATTATTGAAACCAAAAATCCCATAATCTGGCTTCTTTTATGCACTCCATGTGTGAAACCCCATCTCCTGTCCCAGCACTCTGAAACAGGGACTTAGGGAATTTAAGTTTAAAGCTTCCTGGGCTGCTCAATCAAACCAGTGATGCTTTTTGAACACAGACTATTTTTTCCCTGGGAATTTTGACAGTGAATTTAAGTAACAAGCAATGCAAGTTGCCTAAACCTCAGGGATAATTAATCCTTCTCCAAATTCCTGACAGCTGGAAGGAGTGCCCAGCATTTCACAGCCTGACAGTTTGGCACCTTGGCACGTTCTCAGCAGCCTCAGGAAGTCACAACCAGCACCAGGAGCTGATTTTAGTTCCTGGCACACAGATAAATCCATTTCCAGTGCAACTTGAAGCATTCCTGGCAATCCTGAGAGCTGTGACATCCAAGAGTGAGATGTATGGAAACAAAATTCCCTCTAAACCGGTCGTGTTACGTTACACAGGACACAGGGAGAGGAACAGCTCTAAAATGCAGTTCAGCAAATTCTAAATAAATATCTGTACAGCAATTCCTACAGAGTTGGACCCTCTTTTCCCCCACCACCTCATCCCATGGGAACTGAGCACAGCAAGGCTTGAGGATCAACCCCAAAGCTTGAGGATCAACCCCAAAGCTTGAGGATCAACCCCAAGGAATTCTTGCACAGCAAACGTGGGTTTCGTGAAGGGGTTTTTTAAACTTCTTTTTTTTTTTTTTTACATTTTGTTTTAACATTTTTAAGCACTTTTTTAAAAAAAAACATTCTTTTAAAACACTAGATTTTGTGGTGTGTCAGAAGGCAGGCAGTAGAAACAGGAACTATACCTCATTTCTAGCTTTTGGACGATCAAGGAGGATTTTCAGTGCAAAGCGTTCTTGAGAGGATTTTTTCATGCAGACTCTGGTATTACAGCAATAAAATTATTCAGTCAGCAAGAATGTTAAAGAGACACTTCAAGCAATTGAGCTGAGATCGTTCTCCATGTGGGAATTAACAGGAATTAAGATGGGATATAAGGGCACCTCTCCCCATGGCCCAGCTTGAAAACCTCAGTTTTCAGCCTCCCACAACAACCAAGTAAGTTCTGTAGAAACACCTCAAACAAATCTGACTTCCAGCAAGGCAAAAAGAAGCCTTTCAGAGCAAGAGGGAACTGCAGACAAGCAAAACTCCCTCAAAATTCAGCCTCAAGAGATACTTTGGGTGAAAAAAACCCAAAGCACACAGTGGCAGCCTGAACATCCCCAGTGGAGAGTGGAGTTTGTAATAAATAAAGTGTTTCTGAATGGAAATCCTCATTTTTGGCCAGGCCACCAACTGTTTTTTCTCTCTTTCCCCAATTTAACATGAACAATTGAGGGAAGGGCCCACATTTTAACAGAATAAAGCCCAAAGGGGGTGTTTTAATGGAGATCAGAGGCAACACAAAATGGATGAGGAGAAACCAGTGGGCTGGACAGGGAGACAAATGGTGGTGAAAGACAAGAACCCCGTGGAGCACCCAGGAACAGTTGTTTTCCAGCAGAAGTTCCCATTCCCTGAAGGCAGAGGCCTTGTTGAAAAGGGAATATTTGTTTTGCTTCGCAGCAAGTATCCAGCTCGTGCTGGGGTTGGAAATCCATGAGGGACACGGTTGGGATGCCCATGGAATTGTCTGCTTTGGCCTCACAGGATGAGGGGAAAAAACTGGAAAAAACAGGAAAGGGACAGTGGTGATGGCACAGAGGAGCCTTTGCACTGCAGGGACACCAGGATTCAAGGACAGAGGGGTTTTAGGAGGAATTTCTGTGGCCACAACCAATTCCAGGAACGCGGCATGAGATGGGACAGGGAGGTGAGGAGAGGTTTTACTGCACATACATCCCATAAAAGACAAAACCCCACTTGCAGGACCCACACGGAGCAGATATTTGTTGTTCATAAGGAGTTTTCCATGGATCACACTCTGTCAAAAGCATTTAAAATACTCACTGACTTCTCCCCAAACCTGGGGTGCTCTCTTACCTCACAGGCCCACTGATCCCAGCTCCCAACTTCTGAGTCCAGTTAATGTTGTACTCCTCTAAAATGGAGGTTTCCTATTCAAGAAGGAACAGGAAGAGTGAAAAAATAGTCAGTAAACACATAAATAAATAAAATTACTACAGCCCTTCCCCCCCCAAAAAAAAAAGACTCAGCAGACCTGGTTAGCAAAATTCCTGAGCAGGAAAGAGCCTGCTGTGGAAAATTCAACATAAATACAAATGCTCATATGATAATTTATTTGTTTGCAAGTATTTCTGTGCAGTGGGAATGTTCATCCTGGCACTCTGAACCAGGAATACTGAGAACAGTCTTTAGTACACAAAGTGTAACAAGGGCATCTCCCCCTGATTTAAATCCACCTGTACATGATCAATCCCAGCTGAAGGGCCCAATCTCAGCATTAACGTGTATTTTTGGGTCATAGAATACATAAAAAAAAATAAGGTTTTCAAACTTTTGGAGTCATTACATTGCAAATTAAACCTTGTCTGACTGGTTTTAGCCTGTCTGATAATGAACCAGCCCCATGTTTATAATCCTTTTGTCCCAATCCATCTAAACAGGGCTTGGTTTTGTTAGGACACAGCTTGGGAGCTCTCAGGCTTAAACATGTCCCAGGGCAGGATGGAAATCAAGCACAGGGTGGCTTTTTGATTAATTTGGATTAAAGCTGCTGCCCTGTGCTGTGCCTTCGTCCTTTTATTACACCCCAGGATCATCTTTCCAAAGCCAAGCTTTGGGATAAATCACAAGAAAGGGGCTGGTACAACCATCAGTGCTGGGAAGATTAAGGAGGCAGGGAAAATATTCCCAAATACACTGAAATTTAAGGGAAGAGGCCACTGCTTGTAAAGGAACTTTATTCTGATCAGACTTTTCTGTTAATAATTCAAAGGGAGCATTTTATCCCAGAAAACTGGGGACACCTCTGCTCTCAACTAAGGCTTAAGGTTGGACTTCATGATCTTGGTTCTATAATGGTTTTAAATTGTTGGAAAAGGCCAATCCCTCACCTGGGATTGGTGGTCTCTGCTACAATAATCTTGGATTAACTCTAGGCTGGAGCCAGACCTCAAACCACACAGATTGAGAACAAAACAAGGGAGGAGAGTGGATATTTAAGGCAAGATTTGAAGGGATTAAGGAGTGCAAGGGGCAGGTATGAAAGGAAAAATTGGTTTTTAACACAGCCTGGAGTGTTACATAAATCATAAATGACCAGTGAAAGGTGTAAAGGGAAAAAAAAAAGTTCACTGGAGGTTTTATAAATGAAGGAAGAAACATGGATCACATCTATCTGTTCTTTGGATAACCACAAAGAAACTTCTTATCAAATCAAATAACTCAAATTTTATTTGTTATAAGCATATTAGGGAAAAGCTATTTTAATTTTCCTGATATTTCAGCCACAGAGAACTGAAGGTAGCAGAGGTGGGATGAAACCCCAGCTTTTAGGAGAGCATTAATTAAATATATTAAATATAATAAATTAATTAAAATTAGTTTTAGGAGAGCATTAATGAGCAGGGAAAGGGTTTCTCTGGACTGGGGAGTTCCCCCTCAGCTTTACACATCACACCTGGGGTGTAAGTTTTGAAGGAGCTGAAATGGAAATGCCAAATATCCCCACTTATTCCTGAATAAATGGACCAGAGAAGCTGATTAGGACTGGAAAGTCTGTGATCTCTGAATGAAATGAAGGAAAAATAAGATCTGATCATTTTTAACAACTAAAGGACAAGTTCAACAACTGTAAGTCCATTTTTAATAAAAATTAACTTTCGTATTGTGTTTTAAATAAAAAAGCAACATTTGGGGGGGTTGCAGTTTTATTTGGGTTCCAACCTTCACTCCAAAGCAACTTTACAACTTAGAAGTTAAAATGAATATAACACAGTGACCAAGAAACACTTTTTACCACTTCCAAATGACACAGAATTCAGTACTTGGGAACTTTAATCACTTACATCCCCTAATTCAGAACCAGCAGCTCCAAATCCAGCCCCGAGTCTGTGCAGCCACAAACCAACACGAGCCCATAACACCCAAACATCAGCTTCAGAATCTTTTCTGTCAGAGTTTGAACCCCATCATCTTGGAGGGCTTTTCCAACTTTAATAATCCAGGATTCTGTGATTCTAAACAGCCTGAAATGCTTAAAAAGCAAAAATATCAAACTGCCCTGTGAAAATATCCAAGTGTTTCAAGTGGGAAGCCCAAAGGCCTGGGCTCTGTTTGGATTAATGGACACAGGAAACTTTTGTGATCCTGCTGTCAAAGGAACTTGGAACTTCTGATCACTCCTTAAATTAATTTCCAGTGGGAAAAGGGAATAAATTAATATGGAATCCATCCAATTACAACAAAGTCTGAGTTCTCTCCAGCAGCACAGTTCCCTCCCAGCAGCTCTGGGCTCCTAAAACAACACTTGGAGCAGCAGAGTCAGCAGGCTGGGATGCCAAAGGCCTGGAAAAGCAGCATTCCCAGAGTTCTTACAGCTGGATGCTCAGGCACTTCTGACTTAAATGTCTTTTCCAACCTTAATGATTCCATAATTCTCAGTTTCCGTGGAATACTGATGGGAAGAGGTTTGAAACAAGGAGCTTTGAGAGGGTCAGACCTCAGGACTGTTCAGGGAAAAGCTCAGGCTCTTCTGATTTAAAGGTCTTTTCCAGCCTTAACAATTCCACGATTCTCAGTTTCCACTGAATATTTATGGGAAAAGGTTTGAAATAAGGAATTGTGACAACAAAACAATCTTTACAATAAAAATTCAAGGTGCACAGGCTTGGACCTGTGTGATTCCACCTCCTTTGCTCCTCCAGCCTCCTTCCCTAATCTCTGATTCCTGTCCTGGACCACAGAGTTAAACCTGCACAGGCAGTGAAACAACCAAACCTGAACCATAACCAGGGATTTGGGAAGCAGAAAAATCAGGATAACATATGAAAATACTAAATTATGGTTCAGAACTCCAGGGATTTGCCCAGAACCTGGTCTGGGTTGAGCTGAGAGGAGCAGGAAGCTCAGAACTGTCCCTACACTCCCACAACTGCTTCGGATTTTTGTTTTAAACCCCAAAAGCCCTGACTGAGATCTTTTCCTTCACATGAAATACCAGAGAAATACTTAAAAAACCTTCTTTTTCAAACACTTCAGGACTTTCCTTCTCCTGCACTGTGCCAGGAAAAAAAAAACAGGAAACAACTGTGACACTTGTTTAATTACAATCTGCTTGGATTTCCTTCTACTTTGGGCCCTTTTTAGTACAAACCCCATATATTTCAAATACATTCCATATATTTTCAATATATTCCATATATTTTCAGTATGGAAGTGTCCAAGGGCAGGTTGGACAGGGCTTGGAGCCCCGTGGAAGGTGTCCCTGCCCATGGAGGGGGTAGAACTGGATGGTTTTAAGGTGCTTCCAACCCAAACCATTTGGGATTAATTAGTTAATCAACCTAGATTTCAACACAAGGTGTTGCTGTTTCTCTTACACTGGAATTTGCACCCAGTGAGCCAAATTTGTAAAGACAAATCCCACTGTGGCAGGGACAAGGCAAGGTGGGAAATTCTAAAACACAGTCTGTTTTGCTCCATCCTTCAGGAATTGTTCTTTATTTCAATAAGCTTTTATGAAGAAGTCCAGAATTTCAGACAGCAAATGCTTTGCACAAGGTGAAGAGGCTGCAGAGACGCTTTAAAATACTGTTTTATGTCACTTTATTCCGAAAGGAATTTCCCAGTTTCCACAGCAAAGAATTCTGGAACCCTGGATCTGTTCAGCTGCTCCAAACACAACCATCCCACACACCAGATTTGTTTTCACACAGAAGGATGTGGCACCTCAGGGAATAGCCAACAGTTTGCCCAGAGAGAATTACAGGGAGTGAGAGGGGGTTGTGAAACAGGGTCCTGCTCGTTGTGGCAAAATGGGGAACGTGTAAAAGTTTTCTTAAGGATTTTCTTTGATGTTTGATCTTTTCAAGCCTAATAAACAAGAAGAGTTAATCAGTGAAACAGAAGCTCTAAGTGGTGTCCAGGTGTTAGAAAAACAAATGACTCGTGGGTAGAATTGCCTTGTTAAGGTTTAGGGCTGGACATGCTTCAGTGATCTCAGACCTGGGGCAGGTTAACAAAGTATGGGGAGAAGGATTTTCACTGATGGTGGATGCAGGGAATGCAGAATTTACAAATCATAAGGACATGGGGCAGAACCCTCAAAAGAAGGAAGAAACTAATAAACTCAGCAACTGGGCTGAAACCGGCTCCACCGGGGTAAGAGGTGATTGTGATCAACCCAACAAACCCCCAGACCCAAAACAAGAGAAAGACCGAGCATGGCACTAATTCACATGAGAAATAAGAGAATCATTAACCAAAAGAAGATAGAA